CTTAGTGATAAATTTGTGCTGCTGCCCGAAGCCTTAAAATACTGGGCGATTTTTTGTATTCTTGGGAATAAGTCCTACTGGCATTAACGACTGATCTCAGTTTACGCTTGCCTGGTTGAAAATTAATTCAATTTCCTAATGTGCATCAAAGCTTAATAACACCCATTGTTGGCAAATAGTACAAGGCCCATCTCAGGACAAGAATGGTATATTTTTTGTGTTGCACGCATTGGAAACCACCTTTTTACAATCCTAACTTAAGCTCTTCGATGAATCTCACCCACTAAACGTGCATGAGGAGGATTATCTCTTTACGACGCAGGGCCACATCCTTCCCATTAGTCACCTCCGAAAATTTGCCAAAAATCTGCCTAACAGTCCATTCAAAAACGCTCAGTTTACGAATCATTCACCTTTGGTAGGTTAATCCCGTCTATAAACTGTCACACTTTCTTACTCATCCTTTTTGAGATAATAGCACCAACTTCGACACACCTAAGAAATTTATTTGCTTTAGGTATTCACGGGGAGCACTCATACGTATTACATTTGGGACTTAAACCTGTTATTTTAATCTAAAACTTGTTAATTTATCGTAATCAACGGTGAATCGTCTAAATAAGCAAATTTATTTGCTTCGTCTCAATACTAGCTCGAGCCATTTCCGAACTCCAATGCAGTTAATTCCTTAGGCATTTGTAGTTGACAATCTAGCTTTCTCCATTCTTTTAGTGTGAACCGAATGGATGGGAAAAATTCTGGTAGCTTCTGATGTTCTTCTGCAAATGCTTTCTCCGCCGACCTCTTTACAATTTGTATACGTACTTTTTGAATAAACATCGCTGCTGGATATTACTGTTTTCCTTTCAGATGACGCAAACATATGATTTAACACACGTTTAGACAGCCGGCTTCACGTAGTGCCGGGCTAATGCTAGGATCTGATGACAAATAAGAGCCAAAGCGTTCGCGTGGAACGTTAAATCTTCCGCCTTAACAGAGGAGGTGCCAATCTGGTCGTGGAGTGAGGTTGTGCGAGACACGTGCCATTCGAACTAGGCAAATCGATAGAGATACCTCGGATTCGTTGGCGTAGCGTGTAAGAATCCGCATCAAAGGGGAAGAAATGGGCGCATTCGATACTAACGAGGCCTCCGGAGATGGAAACGGGATAAACTCCTTCATGACTAGCGAGAGTCCGACCATGGGAGTTCTACGAAGTTTAACTTTTTTTGTCGGCGAAGTTGAACCACGACGCGGGATCCCTGCTGATCTCGCTCGTCGTCTAAGTGCTTTTCCAGTAAAAACCATCGATCTGGAGGAAAGGTATCGCCGCAGCGAAGAACGTGTCAGAGTGAGTTACCCCATTCACCTTAGGTGGAGAGCATGTCATCTGCACCAGTGTCGATTGTGGTGAATCGCATGCCACAGCGGTAGGAACCTAAAACGAAAATTCCTTTCCGTGGGACCGAAATAGATTGTTTTCAGGACTTGCAGGGCAGCGTAATTTGTGGTCCGTTTTATTTGTAGAGGTAGGTAGTTACGTGTCTGTGCCCCAAGCCCCTCTATGTCCCACAATCACAAAGGTATGCAGGTTAACAGATGATAAGTGTCCCATTAAACAACTTTAAGTTCGCTTTCTGCCAATGCAATAAACAAAAGGCCTCACTGGTAGACATAGGTGTAAACCACTGATTTAAAGCTATCCATTTTGTCGAAACAGAAAATCAAAGAGGAAAGGGTGCGCAAGGTTCACGAACATTACCAACACGTAATGTCTACGGCAATGGAGAAGAAAAGGCAACGACAGTCGGGAAAGATGGGCGAATGCGAGAAGACATGCGCAGAATGACCCGCAAACGCATTTAAATGGAAGCAAATCACTAATCTATGATGATTATTACCTTTTGGTTTGGTGGGTATCATGATTTCACCTCTCTTCAACAGTTCCGTTTGTATAGCCTTTATTTGACATAAATTAACCATCTTCGTCAATTCATTGTTACCAAACTCTGTGGGCATGGGTATTGTAGATATCCTTGTTCCTTAGTATTGTAGCAAGCAAATTTTGGTAATAAGACTTGTGTTCCCCAGGATACAATAAAATATGAGTAGTTAGCAATTAATGCCTTCGTACACAAACAAATCTATTTCCTACCACAATGTGAACAAATTGTATGTACAAGGTACTAGGAGTATCCGAGGCGTCGATTGTAAAGTTTGAGACACTAGGCTTGATGGCCGTTTGAAGCCACCTGGAAAGAGACAAATCAAAGAAAAATTCAGGACATACCTTTCTGGCGGCTTGCAAGCGATCTCTGATATCCTTTACGCGTTGATATTGCTTACGAATATCTTCATCGGTAATGACGAAATTCTACGCTATGCAATAAGTAAGAAATAATAAACACCTTCACATATGGCTGATTCTGATTTAGCATAGCGCAAGGATTCTGCTCAACTGTTCTTTCCTGGCCAGTTATAGGTCCATGTTTTGAAGACAGTGAAACAATCAGATTCTGCAATAATTGACTTTTGTTATATCCGGGTACGCCAGCGGCTAGAGGCTACTGACATTTTACAATAGTAGCTTACATTCGATTCCTGGTGGTAGGGTGGAACGAATAAGCGTTTTCCCATCACGATGATCAACGGCATAACGATCGGACAACCGACGCTCCGAGAATAACTGGATAGTAGGGATATACCAAAACAATCTACCTGTTTTAATGATTCCTTTACCGGCGACTTGTCGGACCGATTGCTATCGTTATGATTCAAGACAATGACGGGTTCCGGGAAGTTCGGAGTTGTATTTCGCTGAAACCAATCGTACTCTACATCTTCTGTCTTGCACTCTGAAGAAGTAATTGAACGGAAAAAGCTACTTTTGACACTGTTTTGGTCACCGGAGTTTGGGATTCTATGTTTCAGTAATGAGCTTGAAAACTTTCCGGTACGCCAATCAAATGATGAAATATCAAACTTGTCTCCAAGTGCATTTTGCAGCTCCTTTTGCGTCTGGATTTTCATTCCATTGGGACTAAACAGAGAATAATGAGTTCCACAAGCCTACGACACATAAAAAACGACAGTTTTCCCGCTATTTAACCCATCCGGTCTCAGGATCTCCTCGCGCTTCCAACCGACTGGGAGAGCAGAGGCTGACTTTTGTGTAATAGGCACTGCGTGATTAATAGTTACTTTTTGAAACATCATATTCTGAGCGATTTGCTTATTGACACTTAAAGGAGACTGTGACACATACTTGGGGTGAGTTGCCATTTGTAGCCCAAATAAGCCATAAAACTCAGGCTACAACACCAAATGACTAAAGGACGTTTTATCATAATAATTATATTAGTCATATGTAAGAAAAGAGGTCGGTCAAGAATTCTCGGATTATGCACTATGCTGAAGTTTGTTGCATATAATCCAAAGTAGTGCTTGAAATTGTTGCATTTTTCTACCTAAAATCATGTTCTATATCTTATTGTTTCTACACCTGATGCTATCCTATAAAAGAAGATTTTATAAATTTTGTGCCTTTTAATAAACTACTGGTGTTAAAATCTCGCTTCCTCAATAGTTGTGCCTAGTACTAAAATTTTGTGTAAATTATAATCAACAAACAAATACATACTTTGACTAAAATAGTTCTACAAATAGAACATAAACTTGCGAACGCGGTTATTGCCACTCTTTTTAATCGATCACTGCTATGCTCGTTTTCAAGCGGGACTTTCGTGAGAGCCCATTTGGCGGCCGCCTTGATGCCTGGCAATAAAAGAGGAGCCGCTTTGAACAACGATTCTGACGCGTCGTTGTCGAGCCTAGAGGTTGTTTCAACTACTTTATTTATTTCAAACTTAGGGTGAACCACCCATTAAGCAGTCAAAATCCTCCAGCGATGTCAATTATGAAAAATCAGCAAATGGGGATAAAATAATAGATTTGACGGGGAAAAAGTACGTCCGTGTGCACTCTTTTCGTGGTCGAGTATTTGTGGACATCCGTGAGTATTACGAGGATAAGAATGACGGAGGATTGAAACCAGGGAAGAAAGGTATCTTCCTCTTGCTCTGTATCTTCTTCGATGTGCTCCAATGTTCTTTTTGAGTGATTTCCTCAACCAGAAGCCTTCTTTGTGGTGAATCTCATTTTTATTTCAGGCATCTCTTTGAACAGCGAACAATGGGATAACCTGAAAAGCCTTATTGAGATTATAGACTCCAATATAAAGGGGGCGAGTCTCTAGCTATTTTTTTTTAAAAACCTACGACTGTTTTGATGTAATAAAGCTCATCCTTTGGTGGTGTGTCTACCTGGCACTCTTCTTTCGTTTGCAGTCATGTCCTTTTTGTTTTTACGAAAGCTCGTGACATCCGCTTGGTTAGGTTTGGTCAATCGTCCGCCCGTCCTTTCATAGGGCCGGGATAAAGTACTATTCGGTCAATTGGTTTCCCTAACCCTACGCCGCGGTTCTGAAGTCTCGCGCACACCTCTGCCTCCTCCGGGGTACTCGTTCTCAGTTAACACCATGCGCATGACCTGAAACAGCATCGGCACCGGCAGGTCCCGTACTTAGTCGTTTGCATGGTGCCGTCTTTGATCTGCAACAAATATTCTCCCCAGACGAATAGTAATTTAAAAGGTTAGCTTCGCGGAAATCAGAAAATTTACAATGGAGACCAGTGAGATGTAAACCAGCAGCAGTGGCATAACCACGCCTAGAGCGCAGGAAACTGAAAGAACTGGTGCAGTGGAATAGGCAGTGTAATGCACAGCTTTCAAGAGTCCATGTCAAGGATGAAAAGCATTTCTGGGTGTGCGAGTCCTGCATCTTTGAAAGAGGGGGGATCCGTTAAACTGTTTGGCTCCCAATCATCCACCTGCCTGGTCAGAACGTCGTCGACGCTGTTGCTACCGTGATTTTCCTCGGGAATGTATTCCTCAATGTCACTTTCGTCTCCTGGACGGCATTCGATTATTCGCTTCGGGTAATTAGATTCCACAGCGAAGTGCTTTGGAGCATCCTCCTGGGAGATTATGAAGTAGTAGAGAAGCTAAAAAACATTAAAATATGCGCAATTCTCATGGTCAGACAAAAGACAAAATCAGTGAACATTGCAATTAGTGATCCATCATGGCTACCGCAAAAAATGTTCAAAGTCTAAGGCATTGAAGCCTCACTTTCACCGAGTCCTTGACAGAAAACAGGCGCTGGGCGCGACGTCCGTTCGGCAGTTTAATAGAGAGTCGAACAACCTCTGTGGAAACGGATGCAGAAGGCTCGGCAGGAAGTGAGGTGGCCCAGCGGCGTTGACGGCGAAGTCGAGCACGGGAGAGAAGCTTCTCGCGGCGCTGCGTCTCTGCGGTCTCCTGAGCGAGGCGCGCTTCCGCCTCCGCGTGTGCCGCACGTTCTGCCGCCTTTGCGCGGTCTCGCGCAAGTGAAGCAGCAAAAGCCTCGTCCTGTTCCTGCCGTAAACGCGTTGACAGCTCACGCTCCGCCCTGTAGGCAAGCCACCAGTTTACATCCACGCAGAATTCATTTAGAAAACAACCTATTCGGGGTCAGTGTACTGATAAGTGTCGACGTCAATCGTGCTGCTCAACGTTACGGGCGTTTAAGCAACATTTTCTCAAAGTAGAACGGGCAGCACAAAGAGCTTAACTAGAGTGCGACCAAACGACTGCATCTTCGGAGTGTACGTTCGCAGCGGAAAACCAACAGGTGCGTTTCGAGACGTTTAAAAGCCTGTGAGAATTCATGCTAGAAACTTCACTTATGATAAAACTGTCACTAAGATTAGGCAAATGCTCCTTATGGTGGTGTGAGGTAAGGTGAGGGAAAAAAAAGGTGTCTGTTTCAAATGTATGAGTAAAAAGGTAAGTAAACTTACCTTTCGGCTCGTTCGGCCACCAAAATGCCTTGGTGGTCATTCATTATTTTCGTGATATGTTGAATTAAGATGGGTGCGCTAGTGAGACCCTCAATACGACCAAGAAGAGCCATACGGGTAGGCGGACCGAAAGACGTCTGTGAGTAGGCTTTGAGCAAAAAAGGACGGATTCATCTAAGACAACCGCCATGTCGACCACGTTAACGCGTTAAAAAAGTGATTTATTCAAGCTTTTGACTTTTGCTCAAATTTTTGCCTTCAAAGAGATCGGTGCAGTCTGGGGCGTTTTAGATATCCCACAACAAAGATATTTGAAAGTTTGGAGCTACTTTAACTCCATGCTGAAACTTCTAAATTTTATGAAATTTTTCTAATTTAAGATAGAACACTATGAAACTGACCAGGGTCACTAGATAAACCAACAACGCCGATGAAGGGGTACGTATGTTCTCTAAGAGTCTGAGAAACACGATAACCCTCAGCAGAATTAACATTGCACGCCCAAAACAACAATTGTTCCGTGTTGTTGAGGAAATCCAGTAGAATTGGATCAAGAAGAGTATCTCTGAAATAATACAGAGTTGTTAAAATTAAAAACAATAGTGTTACCGAAAATCCAATAGTCCAAGGTGATTTGCACAATCGTAAAAATCTAGCAACCTTAAAATACATTTAATCCAAGCCCGAGAATAACGCGGCTTACCGGCAAAATGCGTCGGTGTCTTCGTGCGAGTCACCATGGAGGTAGATGATTAAGAAGCGCAAGCTTTGTTTGGCTTCTTTCAAAGCTTCACCGTAAGTACCGTTGTAGAAAGGGGGCACAGGCGGTGAAGGCATTACCGCATCTACATCACTCTCTTCCTGAACTTCGTAAGCAGCAGACAGGTACCTTCTCTTAAAATCGTCGATGAAGTTGCGAACGTCGTCCGCAGGATTAGTTATTACTAAAGAAAATATGTAAATTCAAGAAATGCACACAGGGGAACCGTCTCAAAATGCACCGGGAAGCAAATGGGACCAATTTTTTTTTCAGTCAGCACAAAATTCATGTGGACAACCCTTATTTCAGTAAAAATCATGCTACCCGATTAAGCAATAAATAGATAAAACTAAACAACAATAAGGCTAACAATAAGCATAGGGTAAATGGTGAATCACAAACGGTAGTAAAAACTACCTCAATAAGATAGATTACAGAACAACCACAAAAGTGTTAAATGGCCAAGCCACCCATAAAAATGCACTTCATTACAAATGACTTACAACGGCGAGAGTCTGACCAAATGAAAGACACTAAAATTAACGAGATTAAAAAATTTACAGACTAAAAATAATTTTGAAAATAAATATCAAGCAGTGATGCACCAATAATTTGCATAGAACACAAACTGAAGTGAAGGGAACAAGATGTATAAACCCCCCAAATAGCAATATAATAGCGGTAAGAAGTGAATGAGCTCAATACATTCTGGAACTAGTGTATTTAGACTTACATAGAAATTTGAATAGATCACAAAATAAGTTGCATGCAAAGCGAAGCGGGGCGAACACAAATGAGGAAAATTGTATGTGCCACGGAAGCCGATCACGTGGAGCGTAATAAATATGTTGATTTTGCGGTGAAACATCAATCTAGGAATGAACGAATGATGTGCTGCCTACCGGAGGAGGAGGAAAGTTTCTTCTACGAACTCGTTGATCACTTGGGTCACCGTAACCCATAAAACTATTAACAGCCCTCTAAAATCCAAGTTAAGAAGAAATGAAATTGCCTCAAGATCCCAACTATTTGATTCCAGGATATTTTTTGCGACATCATCTTCGTTGATACCAGAGATATCCTGCAGCTCAGATTAAGGAATACCGGATCAAACTTTAAAATGCACAAGGGCTGACAACTGACGCTCATTCAATTGTGACTCGCCGCCAGATGACGTGACCTCCAGTAAATCATCTCTAGCCGACGCCATCCAAATAACAATGTGGGCTACAATATACTAATAGTCCAATTAAAAGCACGGAAATAAATAGGAAGGCCTTAATGAGCATAATTTTAAAGGAGAATTAACAGCTCAATGAAAAACACACAGCAAAATAGAGATAAAAAGACGTACGTACATTGGCATTTTTATTATCCATACTAGAAATATGAATTAAGTAGTTACAGTAAAGGGGGAAAATTCCTTCTTTCAGGCTAGAAAATCCAATTCCTTGATTATGTAAATGCTTTTCCCTATGCTCTTACTAATAAATTTGATCATTTTAGGTCTACTAAGAAATGATCATACACTGCTGTAGGACGAGGCTCGTTGATCTCTTCTTCTCCGGTGTTCATACTCTGAGAATATCCGGGCCGATTTGATTTTTTTATGTTTATCGTTTAAGGTAAATAAGGAAGTAGGTACAATGTAGGAGGGGTTTGTATACGGGACTCTTCTCCTATTTGTGGGATACTGACAGCTCTTCGGTAAGGAGGTTTGATTCGTCCGACCGCCTCCTATCTGAAAGGAACATTTAAACAATATAAGTACTACACTGCTGTGGTGTTCTGAGACTTCCTTGGAGACAAAAGATGACACGATGTTTGGACAGAATATATGTATACATGCATTCGACACACAGGAGCGACTGGAGCTACTGCCATGGCCCAATGGCCAACCCACCCTGCGAAAGATGCAATAGTGGAGACACATCGCGCCTATCCGAACTCGATAATTCAATAACCAACCATTGTACTATAGAGCCCTTTCTCTCCTTTGAGCGTCTTTCCCTGCGCTTCTCTTGGTCAATCTCCCGCGTCAGCTATCACAATGTAGTCGATAGTGTTAGGAAATACCTACCGGCCAACCTTGTTAGTCACCCAATTCCCATGCAACTGAGGGGATCCTTGTCCGCAACATTACCGAACCCTCTTGGCAATTCTACGGGAGCTGCAGTTCCGTCTAGTAGGGGAACTGGATTTTGGGCCAGGGAATTACACTCGTTATTACACATATCCACAGCTAATCGTAGAGGAACACTGGCCTAAAAGTTTGGTAATGCAACAAAGGACGAAATTTAACGTAGTTTTGTAGGGCAGAGTTTTGCTCATATTCCTCCTTGCCATGATGTTTGCAATTCAGAGCTGTCCAGCTATATCTACCTGGGTTCTATCCAGTTAGTAGAGGGGTGGGGGAGGTATCAGGTTTTCAAATATTTAGTATACTCGTATAGGTACGGTAGGCACCTCGGTAACGAAACTTCCAAATGGAGCATGGTTAATATCGCTTCCATTTTTATAGTATTCCTGTGGCACATGAGATCGGGGTAGTTGCCAGAGGTTAACGTCATTTTCAGCCCTTCCGTCAGGAATCATCACCGATTCTCTCATTCGTAGCGCTTGCACTAAATCTACCCCGCAAAGGTTTGCCACTCAGCAATCGAAATTAGTACAGATGTCCTTTAAGATTGAGCTCGATTTCCGCTTCTACCAATTTAGCGCCCCGAGGTTTCCCTGAAGACGAAATAAGACATAGTTCTTGGGCAGAATATCTATATTTGACATACAGTAGAGCAAAGGGCTGTTGATAAGGTCCAAGGCCGGTCTACCCGGCAGAGGTGCAGTGACGATGTAGCGTCCCGAGACTCCCTGAAGACGAAAGAAGACAAAATACTCGGGCAGAATATATATATTCAGCACGGAGAAGGTGTCTGGGCTATTGGCATGGCCCAAAAGGCCAGCCCACCCAGCGAGGTACAAGGGGGCTAATTCGAAGTACAAAAGTGGCGCCTCACCAGGACCGAGGGATAAACCACTATCGTATTACAACGAAGACTCAAAGTGGACCTTTCTTAAAACCAAGAATTCAATAAACTACCAACATGTTACATTGCTTCCAACAGCTAACAAATTATGCCTTCTTTTCCTCCAAGTTGTTAAAAGAGTCCTATATTGGTTTACCGAAAGAATCATTTTAATACGTTAAGACTGGTACATATAAAATTAAAAAAGGCAGAGCAGTCGGCTTATAGTGGAATGCTAACAAGTTTAACTTGTTTGAGACTGTATGCTCATAAGGACAAAAATAAACACAATGAAAAATAAACTTTCTACACCTATTTGCAAAGGATCTTCATCTTTAAGACGACCTTTTGCCTTTATTACCTCTTTATTCATTTGGAACCCAGATACTTTCCCAACGTCATAACAAGCCATATCGGCAACAAGGAGAACTTACTGACACTTGTATAAAAGTATAACGCAATGAAGTTTGTATCAAGTCGCATCAGGCCGAAGCAGAGAAAAAGAGCATATGCTATTAACGTATAGTACAGGCGGAGGGCTATTAGTATGGTGCAAGGGCCATGTCACAGGTTGGAAGTATAATCAGATGAAAGTAGTGTACCAGACAGTGAAAATGCAATGCATAGTTGTTTAACTAGACCTCCTTAACATAGTGTAGCGTCCCGGGACTCCCTGAAGACGAAAGAAGACACAATACTCGGGCAGAATATATGTATTCAGCACGGAGATGTCTGGGCTATTGGCATGGCCCAAAAGGCCAGCCCACCCAGCGAGGTACAAGGGGGCTAATTCTAAGTACAAGAGTGGCGCCTCACCAGAACCGAGGGATAAACCACTATCATATTACAATGGAGTAGGTAGTAAATACGAACGTTGTAACCAATCAGACATCATCGGCCACCGAAGGGAAAACGTAACCTGAATGCTCTCAAACCCTTTCATTTATTGCTACTCAATTTAATTTGCCCTCGTCCGGCTTCCCTACCTGTTTCCATAACACGAAACCAGAGGTTGAGGGAAAAATATTGAGCATATTGTATGACAAAATATTTAATCATTTTAAATGCGATGGAAGCTTAGGGGTAGCAGCTCTGATTGGAGGCTTGAGATGTAGAATCCCGGGTTTAATTCACCGCAGATGTGCTAAACTATAATTTAGCGTGGTTGCGCATTTAACAAAGAAAACATTTTGGTGTCCACAGGCTGAGCTTCAGCTCTGTTTCTTGGCATACAGCCTAAGCTAGGAGCTCCCAAGCCCTTCTGTACATTATAAATGCATATTTTCTTACGATACTTTGGTTTATAATGAAAATGACACAAGTTCAAGGGGCTGCACACCTTTGTGATGTAAATTAAAAATAGCTTTGCGGCCTGTAAATGTCTACGAAATCTCCCACACAGCATTATTCAAAGATTAAGTAAACACATTATTTAATTTAAGGGTCTCCATTTATTTCACATCTTACCATACCCCAGTTAAAACCCCTTAAACATCTCTTCTGCTTGCCACTTGTTTAGTATTATTTCTTTGGGCAAATCATAAACTTTTAAGAAGAATAAAAGCTTTTGAGTTTTTTTGGACTGTCAGCTTTTCACTGCGAAATTTCCGAGGTGCACACCAACTTATGAATTTAAATGTATGATGACATTGGTGCTCGCGTCCAATAACCTGGCTTTCATTGTGCTAATATCCACCTCTTCGCATGTTTGTGAGCAGGCATGATGAACGTCGTGAAGTTGAATGGCATCAAAGTCTATAATTTAACCACTGATAGATCTCTGCCAGAGTGGGCCTCAAGAGCCGAAAAAAGAAAACTGCTGGCAAAGGATCCTGGGGCAGAAAATCATATCGAGTTGATTCATGAATTAGAAATGCCTGATGCGTCGACGTTTATAACCTGCTCACCGGATCAGAAGTACCTTTTCCTTCTCGGCCGTTATAAGCCTCGTGTTCGTTGCTACGAACTTGGAAACCTTTCTATGAAATTTGATCGTTGCGTTGATTATCTTCCTACGCGAATGACATGCTTGAGCGATGACTACTCAAAGTTCGCATTGTTGGAAGAAGAACGCTGGATTGATGTGCATGCAGCTGGTGGCCATCATTTCCGTTTTCGAGTTCCGCGACCTGGTATTGATATACATTACACTTCATCCAAATGTCATCTCCTTATTCCGTCTATCGGTGATGCTGTTTATCGGATGGATTTATGTGAAGGCAGGTTTGCCGCTCCTTTATTATCCTCCTCTTCTAATTTATCAAATAGCTACAATGCAAGCTGCTATATGCCAGAGCTTGATGTCCTCCTCTCTGGTACGACTAGAGGTGTTGTTTACGGCTGGGATCTACGAAGTGGAGAATGGACTTTTAATCTTGATGTGTGTTCTTCAGCTCCAAGACCATCGGAACTGAAAACTTTTGCCCGTTTTTCCTGCTCAAATCTTACTCACAGAGATCCACTTAATTTTGCTGTTGGTACAGCCGAGGGTCTAGTACATATTTATGACATCCGTCAAACTACAAGTCCATTGCACACCAGGGACACCGAATACAGACGGCCAATCAAGACGATCAGTTTTCACGATGACAAGGTTTTGGCAGTGGTCGCTCATTGTCTAAAAATCTGGAACATCGACACTGGAAAAACCTTTGTGGGATTCGAAACTGGCCCCTTCGATATAAACTGGATGTATCACTTTCCGAAGAGCGGGCTTATTATGCTTGCAAACGAGTCACCAAAAGTTTCGCGTTACTTCATACCCCTGCTTGGGGAAGCACCACACTGGTGCAGCTATCTCGACCAGCTGATAACTGAAGTCGAACCTGATGTAATGACTATGTACGACGGGTATAAGTTCCTAACAAGACAGCAGTTGCTCGAATGTGGTATGATGGACCTGGTTGGCACTCGGTTCTTGCGCGCATATATGCACGGATACTTCGTTTCAAATAAACTTTTTATGAAAATTCAGGAGAAGATCAATGCAACTATCCCTTACGCGAGATCTGTCACTCCAACTAACATGCAAACTGTTGCGAAAAAAGAGGAGAAGCAGGCGATAATCGCACTGGAGATGGAGGAGGCAGCCGAAGATAAGCGGTTCTCTAAGTTAAAGCTTTCCAAAATGACTTGTGATCCTGCCAACTCGGAATCTGACCTAATCCGAATCCACCAGGCTCGGTTGGAGAAAAAACGACAAAAAAAGGAGCTTCGCAAGGCGAGAGCAACACGTGCCAACGCTCTCATTCAGGGAAAGGACTAGTCGTGATTCCTCCGTTACTCATTGTACTTATTTGTGTAAATAAAATCCTCAGATTTATTACAACCGATTTCCCATTGTCTGGTTATCATAAGAGTCGTTTTAAGATGAGTGCTTTTTTTAGAATTATGAACCGAGGTAGGCGCCGCGGAGGCGTAAGTTCAGGTTTCACAAGCCTTCGTGATGGTGTGAAACGAAGGCTTTTTGACCCATTTACCTTGCCTGTTGCTCCTGACCCCCGAACGGTAATTAGTCGGCTGATCCCTCTTTCGTTCACTGAACCTCATATTCCCTCAGCATTACCACAATCGGATTCCAATTTGTTGCATAGAAAACCAGAAGAGGGTTCAGAAAAAGATTTCAAACTGCAATTGGTAGGTGAAATTGGCCAACTTGAGGCGGTTGACAGTTTGTAACCAAAGGAGTTTTAGATTACGCCCTAAGAAATTCATCGGAAAAGCGGAAACCGTCGTCCAAAGAAGGAAGTATTAACTCGACAGGATTTATAGCACCATCAGTTACGAGCGTACAGTCTTCCATTGCTCATCTTCTCCTAAAAACTGACGAGATAGCCTTTTGGGACAGCGACTTCCTCTCCCTCTTCTCAAAGCCTCCTGAGTGGTCAGTTTAGTGGGCTAAAGACGGAGAATTTTAATGCATCCGTAGTTTGTGTTATCAAAATACTAGTTTAACTCACGGTTTCTTATACTTGCCAAAGGTACCCAAGCGAGCTCACTGACAAGTTGAAAAGGAAATCCCCCACCACGCCAGGCTCAGCAAAGCGTGTTAGATTTGACGACTCTTCAAAGATGGCCGGTGGTGACCGTTCAGCTGAGATGATACCAGACCAGGCTATGCTCGATGCTGCCGACTTCAATGAAGGTAAACACTTTATCACCTTTATCAATCAAAATCTTCTTAAAAGTGGTTTACAGCCTACGCCTAAATAACACGACCCGGTTTCAAACACCATTATTGGGTAATCAAAATTCGGCAATGGGTTCAATCCTTTAATGAACCAAAATGAAAAATAAGGCAAACAAAACAAAACAAACGTGAATTTGACTTCCTGTATCGTTGGTTTTACGATTTCGGAAACCTAAAAAGTGACATTAATATTATTTGTATTAGTTTAGTATGCAAGTTCAATTTAAATCTGTTCCTATCTCCAAAGATTTATAGTTTGAAAAGATTGAAAATGTTTAAAATGCATTATTGAATTTGGTGTGGCTTTTTTAAAATCACAGATGATGATGGCGAAAACGTGTTGAAGGAAGGGGTGGACGAGCCTGTGGAGGCGGAAAATCAAGAGGACAAGGACTCCGAGGACGGGCGATGGAACGGGGAGCCAGTGGAGGAGGAAGAAGAGGAGGGTGACGACTATTGCGAAACCTACTTTGACAACGGCGAGGGCGATATCGATGATTTCAACGTGCAACTGCATGAGATGGGCGAGGATCCTGACGGTAGCTCCTACTACGACTGATGTGCAATGTCGCATGTACATCTTCATCTTCCCCACACTGCGTACCTACTATGTTGTGAATACACCCCTTACTTGCATCCCCAATTTAAAGCTATCAAATATTGATCCTGGCGAAATTTTGTCCTGGAACAACAGGCGATCAGAGTGATGTAAAAGGGCTGTGGTTTTACAAAACTTGTTTCCACGTGTAACTTCTCCGTGAGTTAACTGCTAATACGTTCGTGGGATGGTCGGGGTGAATTTTCACACATCTACCTGGCCATGGGTAGTCCAGCATATTCATCGTCTTCTCGAGCGAAGAAGAGGGTTTCCGTACCAGAGCCTGCAGAGGCAACAGGCTTCCCCTCCACTGTCTCCACGGCAGGCGCGGTGGTTGTGGGCCCTTTGACCGTGTGGGCGTCGACACGAGCGTGGTAACAGACGGCGTCAATGGGGAGTCGATCGGCAAGGTGGCTGAGTTTGTAAGGACATGGGTGGCAACGACAGTTCTTCGCCGCCTCCAAGGCTGACTCAAATGCGGCTCGCAGGAGAGTGGCTCGTGCAGCCAATTGCTTGCAGTGAGCCACAACCCCAAATTGGTTGAACTGGCAGTTCTCCAGTACTGCTATCATCTGACACTGAGCGGGAAAACCGAGGCTGCGCTCCGAGAGGGCATACAGAATGTGATTGAACTCGCGAATCCATTGTCCATGGCTTACCTGAAAAGGAAGCCATCTTCCAGCATTTTAGATGGCTTAATCACTAAGGTCATTCAAAATTGTGGTTTTTTATCTGATTTCCGATAGATGGTACGTCAGTGATTGGCTTCGATACTGGGTGAATTTGTCATTTAAAATTTGATGACCATCACTGCAGTTTGAAAGCTTCGGCAGGTATTTATTCTAGATATAGCACAAGCCAATAAAACTGTCAAATCTAGAGTGCACGAGGATTTTTTCGGTACTAGTACGATTTTCTCGTACATTCCAGAAAATGTACCGTAATTAATACAATTCTTTGGCAAAAAATCTCCCTATAAAACATATTTGTAAACAAATTTTCTTTCCTAATCTGCATCGCTGCTATAATATGGCCCCAAAGAGGTGGTCATAGGAAACACTCACCAGGACAAAGTGTCCAGCATAATCCAAGTTCTCATGGGAGATATCGTCAGGAAAAGAAGAAAGGCGTTCATTTCTAAGGTGGTGTGGCGAAGAAGCAAAGGCCTGAGATACTGGTGGCTGTCGAAGAGGTAGCAGAACTGGCAATGGAGGGGTATCTGCGATCTTTTCCAGTGATCCAATAGATGGGAAATCAGGCGTCGGTTTGGTGGGTTGATTCACGGCAAACTCGCACAAGTCAAAAAAGAAATTGAGCGCTCTCCAGAAGATCTGTCAATTGCACAAAAAAGGACTTGATAAATTACAAAAAGCACCTGAGCTACGCGAATTTTTAATATAAGGTTGCGTTATAACAAATGAAAGAAAATGCAAATGCGTTGAGAATTGTAGACCTTAAATCAAGTAAACCATGCAATTAAGAATTCTTGAGATAGTTCAGATCTTACTCTAGCGCTATTCCTGAACTGAAAATAGTGAGAAGCCAACTTCAATTGTCAGCATTTGGAGTGAGTTAAGTCAGGCGAAAGAAAAAACTAGCGTGAGGTTGATTAATTTGCTGACTCAGAACATGCTTCTCACCTGATGGCTGCATTCACCCTGACAATTGCGCCACATTTGACACCCCATGTGATTAGATTTCGTTTCGGCGATAAATTCATGAATTTGCGATCTAGGTTTCCCATTGTTCAGACCAAAATTCTGTACATACAATGGAAGGTAAATGCAAGCACTTACTCGCTCCCGCATTAGAGGATTTGTAAATAAAGGAATGGGTCTTTCTTTGCAACTTCTCCGAATGGCTTCTGCAGTCTGAATTGAAAGGAGCGAATATACTGTAGAACAAGTACGCACGCTGCACGGTTAAAGTGTATAATACTGTTTAACACCAAATTTGCTTGATTGAAATCATACCCAATGTCATTAAACAGTTTGTTAAATACTCAATAATTTAGTTTGATCTGGCAAATTTAGATGTGCAATCAATTTGATAGATAACTGTCAGCGTTGCACTTTGCGTAAATAGGTCTCCCTGTATCAGTCACATATAACGATTAGTTACAAAAAATCCACTAACCACATCACGGTCACTCTAATATTGGGACGCCTACAGATATTGGCGAATAGTGACATCACAATTCACATTTAAGAAAGTGCACACACTCACATGCACTCGCAGATGAAGTTAGAAGTTAGGGCATCGGTGCCAGAAACATGAAAACCCAAACTACATTATAGTAGTCAATTAATATTAAAATATGCATTAGCAGCCACAATCAGTAAATTTGTCAGTAATTCATGTTTTAAAATTTGAAATTTAGTAAACGGTGTTTAAATAGTAAGGGAAGTATTACATCGTTTCGACACTGAGAACCTTAAACACGTCCCGCAGTGTAATCAATAATGTAAATGAACAAAGCCTTGCACATACAGAAAAAGCCCTCTTTAAATCACTAGCAAAAATCCCATCAATTTGCAGATTTTTAAGGCTATTTCCAACATTGGTTGCCTGGATTTCTCCAACTTGCGTAAGGGTGGTATCCAGATGACCTTTGTAAGATGAGTGAAAAAGCGAAAACCGAACCTTGGATTATTTGTGTCAAATTTTCGTTAGTTTGTGCACTAAAAATGAATACCAAAATCTGGGACCTACTGTCGTACTACTGTAAGATAGAAACAAATATGATCCCTCGGTGCCATTGAGAACCACACACAAATTTCATACTAGCGCTAGCCCCTCTTGTTGCAAAGATGGGAGCGGTTTTGGTACATTAAATAGTTCAAAAATTTGTAGGTTGACATGTAAGGCAATTCTAAAGTATTCAGAAATCAATGTACTTAAAAATATTTGCCTTAGTGGTGGTTACTTATTAAGTAGCATTGTACAACATTATGTGACCCGAAATCTAAGTTAAACGTTGATTACTTTGCCCTATTATATAGCAGAATATTTAAGCACGTTATAGAAATAGAGGAAAATGCTATGCAAATAAAAGTTGACATAGTATTTTAAGAATTAGACGTGTATGTAGACGAATTCAAGGTGAAAACCTGCTGTCTCTTATTCAAACAATATATAAGGGTTGATGAAGGTGAATGGTTGTTTGTTCCACTAACGATGACGTGGTACAACAATTGTAGCACGATTCTAGCTTACCCCTCTTCCCTAGCCTACTACCCTTAGAACCAAGGGGCTGGTTCGACCGGAACATATTTATTTGTAGGACAAGGCTCGTAGGTCTCCTCTTCCCTGGTCCTCATACTCTTAGAACATCCAGGTTGTTTACTAAGGCAAGTAAATGAGGAAAGCCAGCACAGATGTTAGGGGGGTGTGAGCATGTAACCGCTCCTCTGTTCGCAGGCCGTTGTCTCTTCAGTCAAGAGGTTCAGTTCGTATCCCCGCCTCCTCTCTGAAAGGAACATTAAAACAGTATAAGTATTACATATTGGTTATCGCCAATGGGGATAGACAGTTTTAGGAAGATGGTGACACTGAGCTCTTCTCTGGTTCGCGGGATGCTAGCCGATCCTCAACCACGAGGTTCGAGTCCATTGTTCGCAACTCCTTTAAAAAGTCCATTTAGTTGTCTATTTAATTGCGTGGCCCACTGCGTCTTTACAGATATGATTCACTGGAATGGTCTTATGGCGTTCTAATTGTGGTCGTAGCCTGTAGACCTTCTGTGTGTTCATAAAAGTCCTCTTTACTGCTCTTCCTTGTGACGTCTTCAAAGATGACTTGGAGGGCTGTAGTGAAACCAGAAGAACCCCTTTACCTGTTAAATGCGTTTTTCGCTGAGTACTGTCAATAACTGTAATGCTTTAGTGGTTTGTTTGACCCTCTTTGATCGTGAAAGGTCTCAAAGGTACGCGGATTGCATTTCAGTTGGCCGGCGCAGACTCCGGATCCTATCAGTAATCTCGAATCTTCTTGAAATCTCGGGGCACTACATTTTTGGTAGCGGTATTTAAGTCCCGATCCTGTGCGCTATAGGGATCCTGTTAACAACTGAGGTGACACTAGCTGCGTGTCATCTCAGAAATTTTGTTACGGAGCTATCTGTAACAGTCCCACCTCCTCCGCTTCTCTACTAGCTGGACAAAACCCAGTTAGATACGGCTGGGTAGCCCTAAAGTGAAAACAAAGTGGCAAAGGGGAGTAAATGCGAAACCTTACCCCCACCAAACTATTTTAGCCCAATCCGTTGTTAAATGACTTCGCTTTTAGGTTAATGTTCTTACGACGATTGATGGGGACACAAGATGATTAGCACACTCCCTATTCCATACTACAGTTCTCAAATATGACGATACTCCAGATCGTGTGAAGTTAACAAGATGGATCAGTGACGTTATGGTCAAGTAACTTCTTAGTCGCACGGAAACTCGGTGACCGCACAGCCGATTCGTGGGTTGTTTTTTAAAGTGTCGGCTACCTCGTGATAGTCGACGTGGGAGGTTGATCAAGGGGAAAGCTAGAGACGACTCTTCAAAAGAAGTGGGCCTGTGCAACACCTTCGTTTTTTTAACTCTGTATTTGTTTAATTACGTGAGTAATTAAGTCCTCTAGGCTTGTGCTTTTGCTCAGCGGCATGGTCTCCGGGCCACACTAGTAGCCTCAGTTCTTTTAAAAGACTCAAGACTCTACACTAGTGCCATTTGATCTACAAATAAGTCATCACTACATATCGAAGAACCATACATAATGCCTATTAAACTTGCATAAAGCGATTAACATCCGAAGTCTCCAATAGCGAAATGTTTTTTATTAGCATTGTTACTGTTGAAGTGCATTGATTCGAATCCCTTTGTCAAAACACCTGACCCACCTTAGATTAAAATCACTTGTAAAAGCACTTTTCTTTGTAGTGGTTTTATTAGTAGCTAGTTCTGGGATTGCGTGTAGATATGTTACCAAGTCCTGAAAGTGTGGAGTTCCCCACTCGTAATTTCTCTTCGTTCAAATGTCCAATCGCCATTGGTTCCAGCGTTAGACGACCTTTCGGAATTTCACCGTATTTCTAATTCGCTTGTTACGCGCACACTTGATCGCGCCTAGCTGAAATGGACGGCAATTTTGGAGCTGGTTCTTTTAGTTCAGTTTAACAATGCCAAAAGGACAAATATGCAACTAGGACGTCAGTGTTCCGTTTGCAATGCAGGTCTAAAGAGAACGCGTAACAAGTGCGCCTTTTTTTATGGACCACGGTGCGTTGGTGCCAGCACGCAAGCTTAATCAACACAGTGAAATGTGACTGCATGCAAAGGCTACAAAAACAGGACTTTTATTTGAGCTGGCTGTAAATCCCACTCGGTGTAGCGTCCGTATATCAGTAGCTTAAAGGAGAAACACTGCCCTACAAAAGTGAACTAAGACGCGCACTAGACTAATTTTTGCAGTATGCGATCTTAAATTAATGCCGAGAGATGATGCTATCAATTACATCGAATCTAATTCAGTTTATTAAATTGTGGGTTAACATTTCATTACCCTTAGTATCCAGTATCTTTCCATTGCACTGAGCGGTTGCATCTGAACTGTGTAGAGGCGATGTTGATGCAGTTTCACTCAAATCGGTTTCCAGTCTTCATCGGGCCTCTGAACATGGTTGTATTAATGCTAGAGAACAAGAATGGTGGGCGCTGTTTTCACACAGTAGCAGCACAACGGTGTCGCCGAAATCGCACTTGCCAGTTTCGCAGCGCCGTACGTTGGTGCTCCTTTCATGGTTCTTTACCTGAGTTAACAATGTCTGTTTCTCTTGATTATACAAAAAAATATACTGTCGTGACCGAAAGAGGGAAAGAAGGATTTCATCCCAATTTTTCGAAGCGAGTCTAACTTGCGCAGTACACAAAATTTAGTTGAGAAAACCAAGGAGTTACTTTTATTCCAATGTGAGGACTGTCTGCGTTAAATAACTCATGGTTGTAACTGTAAATCTAAGCATGCGATGGATACTTCTTAATTTAATTCCTGTGTATAACTCTAATAAAAACATACGAAAGAAAACACACTACCTAGGAATAAAATCAAAAATGAAAATACTAGTCGGTACATGCGACAATTTTAGGTCGCAAACTTTTTCCAGTTTGTGCCTCCGGTTGAGGAAACGGCCTGCCACGCTCCAGCACGGTTTCTATTTTAGCAATATTTATGAGTTTATTAAAAGTGCATTTTCACCGCATATCTCATGCACGAATAAGGGCGCAACGGCACTTAGACAGGAGAGTGGCTGTTTGAAGGGACTAATCACAATAAAAATATGCAAAACACTCGAGTCTTGGTGTTTCGGTTTGTTGTAATCCACGGTCCCTTCCAGAGGTTTATAATCAACTCAATCAATGTGAATCCCAACTTCGAACAAACACTTCTCAACCAAAGTAGTAGGAGCTCAGTCTTTCTAAGGTTCAAATAAACCACACAAACAATCGCAAGTTATTTTCGTCAGCAACTTTAATTACCACAGGAACTTCATCGACGATTCCATCATCTTCAGCAGAACTTCTGCTTATTTCGGCGAACAAATCCTATTTTTAAGGTACAAATGAGCAATTCTACAATGGTCATAGACTAGCTTATTGATTATTATAACAGTTATGGCAAAGCTGACAGCTGAGTGGACCTGTCATTATCCGAACGCCACTGAAGGGCTAAAATACAATCAAAAACCATGACCTTGCCTGATTTAAAGTTGAAGAAACGTGGAGCAAGTGTGATTCAATTAACATTAGCTTCTTGTGTTTCATATTCGGAAAGGAGGCGGTGAGAGAACAAACAGAAAAAGTGGCAAACCAACCACCATGAAGTAGGTCGCTCGTGTGCTCACGCGTGCACTAGAGCATGCGACGACGTGCCTGCGGCCCTCCACGCGCAATTGGTCCGATTTGGTGCCACTGGCCAATGAGAATCGTACGTTGTGCCAGATGTCGTGAAACGCAAGTGCTTTCACGCCTCGGGCTTGGCGTCAGGTCGTGACTGTGAATAGACATGTATGAGTATCGTCCAGGAATGGCGGTGGTTAGCTCCCCCTACGGATACGACGATCCCCAGCTTGTTCGTCAGCGAAATGATAAAGTGAGTTAGCTGAACCCTTTTTAGAACCATGCATTGCACTTCCACAGCAATGCGCTTTATCTAACAGTTTGCATCTCTAGCAACATGCTTACTGTTTTGAACAAACTTGCCATATTATCCAAGGACCTTCACCGAATTTCACTTAAATCAGTTAAAAGGAGATGCGCTGATGTGAATATGGATGAATAGACATTCTTAAACTAACGGTGGGGATGAATAAATAACCAACATCAGCTTATATAAGCCATAAGGCTTAAGATTTTAATTGGTTAACCATACTGGATGCATCCTGTCCGCTGGTCCTATGCCCATAAGGGCCAGAAGTGAGTTCATGTGTAGGTTTGTGCACTTCCATCAACTACACCCATCCTGCGCTTGTGCGTACACGTTCAGGCAATATTTCGACTGTCAAGTTCAGTGCCTTTGAATGATGTTTGCAACATGAAAAAGTACGAAAGATATTGGAAAGTCGGTATTCCATTGGGATTGGACAAATGTCCTCTATGCATCCACATTACTCTGCTAGCCAGCTGGTGAGGAGAAAGAGGGCATCTGCCCAATGCCGCGATGTCGGCCAGCAAAGTCGTCTGCATGGAAGTTTTGGGCGGTGGCACTGAGTCTAATCATCATCCTCTGCTTCATCGGAATCGCTCTGTGGGTAGCATGGGCGCGTTCCAACTCGGGCTTTGCAGAGGCCGACGAAGGGCCACAGGGACCTGAGCTACCGCCAGCCATCTGCTACAAATGCAATAACTACGCTCACATCATGGACGGCCGCGAGCTTAGCTCCAACATCGACGTGGAGCATAGCGAGGGCGGTGCGGCCAAGGTCGAGGGAGCCCTAGGAGTCGCAGTAGACGTGGATAACCCGCAGCAGGAGCTCTGTCAGGAGTTCGTCAACAGAACCGCGCTGGCCGAGACACAATCCCCTGCGGACGATGACTGCGGAGACAGTCTGTACAACGGGTGCTTCAAGATGATCACCAAGAGCTATCGACTCACTTCCAATGTTGGACGCGAACAGCTGAGTGTCACCATTGTCACGCGGAACTGCGTCGAAATACCACGCAGCATCCCATTAGGCTGTTACAAGACCTTTGGTGGGGCAGGAATGGAAAGGGAGACGTGCTATTGCAAGGGAAATTATTGTAATGTGGGAACTACCATTGGCGCATCGACCCTGCTAGGAATGATACTTCTCCTTCACTTTCCCAATACCTTTGTCTGATTTAATGAATTAAATTGTTTACAATACAAAAGCCCACTTATCCAGCTTTGCGCAATTTCTCAAACGGCATTGAATTTCGACCACACTTGTTGCAGAATTGATGCCTATCAGCACAAATCTAGCACTTTTACAATCACCTCAAAATGCTGGTTAACGTTGTACCTCCCAAAAAGTTCAGTCAAAATTTGGCGCGTAGCAGTCTAGCGTAGTCGCACCGTTCACAGCATTAATTTGTAACAACAGTGTTAATATCAAGTTTTCTACCGAGAAATAGAAAACAGCCAAGTTACCTAATTTTTTGTGCAAATTGAGGTAACAGTTTTTTCAATAACCCAAGGCGCCTTCACTAATTGCTGATTAGATTGCGAACTCACTTGATCGCCCATTGAACTTGGTCCAAGTTCCGAGCCGAAAGCAAAAAAGCCCCATTTATCATGAATCTTTATAATACAGACCACGACCAAGAACAAGGAAGATCACATCATACTTAGGTACACTAGGGTTCGATAGGACTAGCCTCTATGCCAAATGAGTAGAGTCCAATGGGCCTTAGGGAATGATATCCTTAAAGAGAGCCAAAGCCTCTAACAGCAACTCCTTTCGCTGCTCCCTGGGAACCAGCAAGAGCTGGTCACGTAAGGTGCCAAGTGTTCGACGCGCATCCCCAATGGCGTCGCCTTGTGCAACATTCGCCACCGTGACCCCAATGACGACATCCACTGGTTCTTGTTGTACTTCTGTGCCCTCTTTGGACTTTTCCGACTAAAACATGGTAAGACCAAAGCTGTGTTTGAAATCAACACATTAAAGCAAAAGGAGAGCAATTTCAAGATCACACTCGTAACCGTAAAATAGACATTATTTGACGTGATGGATCACATTCAGTGTCACGACATAGGAGCGCAAATAATGATTTCGGGCTTCATCCACATTTCAAACCATGTATAACCCTTTTTACTAGCCTGTCCCAAAATAAGGTATTTGTAAGTAATGGAGTAAGGTAGACCGGAAATACAACCATAACCACAGATAGTGAGCACTGACTGCGAAACGAGGCAACTACTCACCACTGGGCTACTTATCAAGAACACGCAACAAGTTCCTAAAGGAACGTTCACACAATCGGTGACAAGCAAATGCTGTGTAAGAACACGTGTAGGAGCAATAGGCTGGTGTTACCATAGCGTCAAAAGGGTCGTTGTAATAGCCCCCTTAGCAGGGCTCCAAGTGGGACCTTCGTCAATCCGTGTAGTTACTCTAAACTTTCCACAGTTCAATGTGAAGTCCCAGAGGCAACAGTTCTTGAAGTAAAACCCATGAGGACAAATTAATTCTTTCCCACTACCATCGACTACCCAATAGCATTAGAGCAATGAAGCATTTCAAACCGACGTCGCCAGATTCAAGAATATTCATCGAACACAACTGAAAACGGGGTAAAAACCTAACGAGAGTTTGGAAAAAAAGTTGATGCAGCGTCAATGTCGCAACGAACCTGTTCGCCGATTTGCTCTACTTCAGTGTCAGAGACAATAATCACTTCGGCATCGGCCGGCTCCTGACTGCTCTCTACCATATCTTCGTTGTTATTTACATCCTCCTTCTCGTGTTTCTCAGTCACGTGATCGGGAGAAACAGCCTGAACAGTCGACCTTGTCCCGCTAAAGAGCCCACCCTCTTTGTCGACTGCGGCTTCCATTAGCTCTTTGCCCCGGATCGCAGTCGTCATTTCTGACACCAAGGACGAGTCCTGTGAGGCCTTGGAAATAACAACCGAGAGAGGAGATAAATGAGTGCAAGTGAGGGCGTCCAGATCGACATTAGCGCCTTCCACCGTTGCTGCCATCGAGGATACAAGGGAAAAAGACCCGCAATTTCCTGAAGACGTGAAAAGTCGCCTGCGAGTGAGTGGATGTGTGCGGGTGCCAGTACTCCTGGAGCTGCCCGGAAAGGAGAGCAGAGTCCCCCTCGACATGCGGTTGATCATGACACAACGTCTCGGTGAAGCCGACTTGCGACGACGACTGCTCACCGAAGAAGAAAGCGATGGCGGAGAATAACTTTCCGCTTGACGTACCTCGGCACCCTCACTGTCGGTTTTAGATCCGAAGATTAAAAAATAGGAAATTTTTAACACCATCAGGCTAAAGCAGTACGCTCATATCAACTAAAAATATAAGTAGTGGCTGAATACACTATTTGTCTATCCCCATCCAGTCTACTTAAGACTACTATTCACGAATCGTCAAGATACCTAGCAGCCTGATCATGTAAGGGAGATGCCGCGTCATCCGGAGGGTGAAACACTTCTGCCTGTTGAGAGTCCTGGGAATCTGCAACAACCATCTCTTCAGAAGCGTTGGTAGTGAGTGAGGGGATAGGCACGACTGAGAACGCCTTGGATACCGATGAATCGCTTTCCTTGAGCCCTGAAGCATTAGGTGATGATTCGGAAGAATCGAGGATAAAGACCGTTGGTTGTTCAACAAAGGACACACGAGTCTTAGGCCGTGGCGTGGTGATATCTCGCAGAATTCCTAGGCAGATGGTAACAATGATTAGGCCTACTTTGGATGAAAGGAGGCACTGGACATTGATAGCCAAATTTGAGCAAATGCTGACTCAAATCTTTAAGAGAGTATCTCACCGGGTCTCGTACCGGGTGAATCGGACTGCTTGATACTAGGAGATGCTATGGGGGAGGTGAATTGCGAATTGGTCCTCGATGCCGAAAGCAACATTCGCTGTTTGCTCCTTTCTGCGGCCTTTGCCAGGCCCAATTCAAGAATTTTTTGCGCTCTTAGACCCCCTGGTCCTAAGCAATAAGGCAAGGAAGTAAAAAAATCCAGTATCCTCCATTTGTACTTACGAATAGCTAACACAATTAAATATTACAGGGCATTTAGTTTTGTTAATTTATTCCATTACACTGAAACAACGTACATTGTAGATAACATGCAACGATGAATTTCTAGTGCAATTGAGCAAACAAAGAGTACCAAACCTTAATTCTAGCATTTGAAATGCGGCAGAAACCTTATTCGGGAAAAAGGGCACTTTGATAATGTTTTAATGACACTTTTACTGGGGAAAGTACTTGCCTCTGATTGGCATGTCTTTTGTTCATTGAAGTGGATAGTTAACCGAGGATTTTCAGCGAGTCGCCTAATATTACAGCACATATTTTTGAACAATACCAAAAAGTTCAAGTTCATGAGATGCTTCTTCCATATTGCAAGAAGTAGTACCGATTAATGGGGAAAAGTCTACCAAAACTGTTAATGACGAAACGGTTTAACAATAATCCAAGTAATACCTCAAGCAGCTTGCTTATTTAAAATGTTTTATCGAAGTGAATTGGTATTGACCATCTCAAATCTTCCCCTACATATAACATCTTGGAGGGAGTGCACAATTTGAGTCAACTATGTAATTCGTGTGAAGAGTTTGATAGAACACAATATTTTGCAAGATAATGCAATGTTTTTAAGACTACTGCTCCTGATCACAGTGCTGTTAGTAATAATGGATATCCTATCACGCTCCATAAATCGGTTTCACAAGTCCTTTTTCCATTTCGTTTAGGGGCAGATTTTGAGGGAAATGAACACACTTAAATTCGCTACAAATAAAGGATAATAAAGCAACTTTTACAGGTTAGAAAAAAGCATGACAAAATAAGGCTTTACAAAAAAATTAAGTCTTCCACTTGGACAAATGTCCGCTTGCTATTTGTACTAAAGCAGAAGTAAGCTGATTTCTGATTTGGCAGGCCCCCTACCTCCCACAAGAGGACTCCTTAGCACAGCCGAGCTAGAGCGAGGTACCACTGGCGAAGCCGAGAGCATCGAGGAAGAGGATGGCAAAGCGAGTGCGTTGTGCCGTCGACGAGTTGCTAACGCATCTTCTGTAGATGTCGCCTTGTACTGTGAAGGCTCCGTGCCTACTACGATCGAAGCATCAGCACCAGCCTCCTCCTCCGCCTCCTCAACGTCATCATCAACATTTCCTTCAGAAATACCTTCCGGCCCCTCGAGCTCTAAGCTTATAGGTGCCTCCTCTGTAGCAATTTGGAAATCCGATAGTGGTACATGTAATGCATCAAGGGACTGTTAACATAGTATAGTTGAAGAGGCAAGACGGTACATAAAAAATAGCGCTAGTCCAGCCGTAGCCGAAGCCTACCTTCGAATGCCGATCCATTCGGAGCCGATTCTACACCTGTTTTATCACCCTAAAGGAAGAATATCAGTTGGAAGCTACTGATTAAGAATCGCCCGAAAAAAGAGGACCTGCCTGGTGTGATACGTTTGAAATATTGGTTGCCTTTATAGATGACTCTTTTTGGGATCCTTGCGTTGCTTCAAACGCAGGCGCAGCGCCACTAAAACGATAAGCGAAATGGAGTTTAATCGACCTACTCATAAACTACCCAGACGAATGTTTCTTTATGGATGGAGGTAAAGCGAGAACAGAGTCTAAGCTATTTAATATCAGAGAGAATTCTTCAAACTGAAACGCAAAACAACTGTTGAAAATATCCATTGCAAAGATGTTATAGAATCACCCACCCAGACGATGTGCTGGTAGTGGCATTTGTAGCTTTTGGCGAGAACGTTGAAGGCTGCGGGTCGGCAACTGCGAGTGAATCCAATGGTCCAACCGATGGAGTCGGGGCCTTGAACCGTGCTGGGCTCATAAGCGACTGGGAAGAATCCACCGAAGATGAGCTGATCAAAGGATACAGATTCGAACTTGCCGGAGCATTACCAATATCCAGGTTGTTGTACATAGCAGGTAGATAGGCATGTCTACAAGCCATTGGGGAAGTCCATTTAAAATCGTAGAGCAAGTCATGAAAATGAGAGCAAAAAACGTACCTTTGTTCACGTCGACGCTCTTTCTGATGCTCTGTGAGACGCATACGCTTGCTAGAGCAATCCAACGGGGAAATGAAGACAAACTGAATGTAAAGACTGAGAATTAAATTCATATCCATGAGACGCCGCATATAACAAATTAACTTCCCCCCAAATCATTTAATATTTCACATTGTTGGAAAGCCTATAATCACTATCACCGCGTCTTTTCACACAAAAAAGTCTTCAACACCGAAGGGATAACATGAGATGATAACAATGACAGTGATACCTTAACAGTGAATTTGAGACATTGAAGGCGTGGATAAAATAAACGATTTATCAATACTACCTACTACCGGCAAGTAGTGCATTTTAGAGACAAAAGTCCACAGTACCTGCGTAGAATCTTCGAAATCTGCCAAATTGGGTGGGGGCCTGCGGTCAAGGTTGTCTGGATTTACTCTCTTCCGACTACGAGAAGGCGACACTTTCAACACTGCGGAAGTAGACGAGGCGGCAGCACCAGTACCACCATCATTTCCATCGTCAGAAAAGAGGCAGCGTTGAATCTGTTGGGGGACTAGTGCTACATAACAAATTAGTCGCAATGGGTGGCATGGTAGCGACGGCTATTACAAGCAAAAAAATGGAATAAAACAATGACAGAGATCGTGGAGATTATTGAGCTTACATATGCGATGATTAAATAGAGAGTAAGACAGACAGATAAATCGAACAACTAGAATTGTTCAGTTGTAGACTTACATTTATGCAACTTCATAAAATTGTTTATACCGGTGTTAGGTAAGCGTACCGGAACGCTCTTCATAATTCCCATCGGCGTGAATAGACTGACGAATTTAAAAAGCAGCCCTAGGTGATACGGCAATAAAAATGGTCCGCCGATCAAATAAATCGTATTTACGGATGGCTCCAAAATGCCTTGTCGGAGGTTACTAACTGAGGGTAATATATCTGGAGTAGTCGAAATAGCTGTCGTGTGAGGTGAGGAACAAGTGTATACTTTTGATACCGACTACAATAACTCGTTAGCCACGCGATTTCAAAAACTTGCGACTGAGGGAGCAGGCAACATACGGGGTTGAGAAGCAGCCTGAGGTGCAGCTAGAGAGAGGCGTCTACGAGCTATGATAGAGGCTCGCCGAGGCGGAAGCGACTCCCGGGGATCAGTCGCGGTGCCGAGGCGTCGTGAGGCCAAAAACGAGCCTTGCAAAGACTGCCTTGGGGGTGTTTGGGACGAGGGAAGCTGAGAACTGTTGGTGGTATCAACGTGGCCAGGAGAGACATCTTGCGTAGATTCCAAGTTATTTTCTTGCCTAGGCTCCTGAAATGCAAGCTGACGCCTGCGTAACCACACTTCGCGTACGTAAAATACTAGTTACGCTTTCCTTATGTGGAGCGAAACGTAATCTTCATTTCCTACGTTTGTTTTATCCTTGCCTAAGTTACTATTAAGCATTTTCGTAAAGTTGGCGATAGCCTCAAATATGCATACTCTTCTGAGTAATAAGCATGAGGGAAGCGAATAGCTTTAACTTCGTAATACTCGTCCATAATCGAATACAAATATATATGATGATTTAAAGGTTTGGCTAAACAAGGTGTTTCGAGTTCATTCAGTTACACATTCATCACTATTATTTGCAGCAATTTGAATAAAAATATATTTTCGATTATAATACATTTTGGAGCCATTGTAATTTGTTAAAGCAATCGAAACAAAACACTTGATTATGACCATTTCTATAATGAAAGAAAAACCATTTTCAACGGAGAAGGCATTACTTAACCTGTTGGAGGTACATGATAAACCTCTGTAAAGTCATTAATGAAAGAATAATTCATATGCCATTTCAGGAAGCCAAAACGCAATCGAGCTAAGATACTCTAGAACCTAATAATGTGGACCCAGCGTGATCGATGTCTACATTTGGCTTGCTTTTACTGGTGTCAGGGCGGATGTGGGTTTTACCTCTTCTGGCTCCTTGTTACAAACGCCTCTGGGTAATCTTCGGGAAGCTCTGGGACTCTTTTGTGCCGAAGACATTTTTGCTGAACTCCAAGGCGGGTCGTCCTCCGCTCCACTTTGCTCCACCTCCTGTTCCCACAGCAAGGTAGGTGGAATCCAGTCAGGAAAAGTGACACGACGATGGAGCGAGACCTGAGGAGAAGTCACACTGGCCAAACATCTGGAGAACTGACCTGTCAAGTCACGAATTCTCCCTTGCAAGTCGGCTGTTTCGGGTGGTGCTGAGACGACCAACGTGTCCCACAACGACACAATACACATGATAAATATTTTGCGGCGACGCGAAGCGGCTTCTGGACAGGACGAAAAAAACCATTAGTATTACTTGTAGCGAGCGAGATCAAGAAGTGAGTACTTCCTTGCTACCCTTTAACCATTGGGAGTACTGACGATGACTCTAAAATTCGGATTGACACTGATTGTAATAAGGGAAACTACGTCACTCGAAATACATTTTACCCTGCTAAGGGCGGGCAAACTATTAAAATATCAACAAGGGAACCATCTGAGTTAAATGAGAAAGCTGTAGCTTACCATAATTAGTTATTTTACTACATCCTAATGAGACGGGTGAAGAACTTGCGCTCTTAGAGGAAGCAGCAGCAGCAAACCGATGCTCCAGGGCCGAGAAAGGACTTGAAGCCAGACAAACAGCGGCCTCAAAGAACACCAGCAACTGACGAACTGCGTGATGTGGTAGCTTCAAAGGCTTCAACTCCTGCTCCTTCTGCTGCCGGGGGGTTTCAACTACACCCGGTTTGCAGAAGCACTTCTGAAGGCGATTCCAAGCAAGGGTGACGAAAGCCTCGAACTGAATGCAAATACGGCACTACACTGTCATCGCAAGCTCGAGTACTTTGGAAAACAGAAAGGCATTGGAGCTTACTGCAGTCACAATAATGGCAGGAGCCTCGCTATCTCTGAGGGAGATATATGCTGAGTTGAGACGCTTGGCAAGAGCGAGCAGACCCGTAGAAGAGAGCTCAATCAACAAAAGGAGTGTTTCTACGGAACGTATGTGTCGCTAAAATAGACAATGATTGGTTGATAACTGATAAAGTGAGCATATTCATTTAATCAAACACTTTGCTGAAGTGGTACACGCACAAGGGATGTCCGCGAAACGGACAAAAGAAAAGCAAGAAATCGCATCAGCACGTAAAATTTAAGCTGTGGTTAAAAAGGAACACATCTCGAGAGTCCGCAGGCAAAACTGACCCGTAAAATGAGCCAAAGAGAATGCAGAAGGTTGTATGTTACAGAGTGGGTTGTTTGTGGACTCTGGTGCTGTTGCTGTTTGCTTTCCAAAAAGATCATTTCATAGAGTCTTGCTGGAGATAGTGATCCACTAGTTACTGCATACGAAACTAGTGGGTTCCGAGGTCGACTGCTTTGTCGACGTGTTGGTGAAACAAACACCGAGTTGCAAACTGATATCTGTAAGAGGCGAGACAGTACCAATAATTGGCGATGGCCTCGCACATAAAAGCAAGACGATAGCACTTCTCTGATATATCTGCACAAGCACTACTAGTCAATTGAACTTCTGGTATTGGTTTGGAGAACGAAAAATTAGAATTCAACATAAATAGTTACACTGCGACCGCTTATACTCCTAGTACGAACCTCAGACTGCTCCAGTGGCATGGCGCCAAGACAGCAAGAAATGGCATTCACAGGTCCCGTCATTTGACCCAGTAGCCTGTCTTTGTGAACACGCCACTTCGAAGGACTAAAAGGATCTTGAGGTAAATGTGGTAAATTATTCGAGTTGCCCATGAAATTACAAGAAATTTGTTGAAGTAGTGGTTAAAAATAATTATGGGCATCGAGTAATACAAAGAACCATTGACTTTGGAGGCACCTATCAAGAAAATAGAAGTTTCAGGCATAACTATGTACATGCGACTGCTCGAATCAAAACGAGTCGAATTTGTGAATACAGACTCTCAGTTAACATTTTCATTGATGCTTTAAAACGTGATGAAAGCTAAAGACGGGGCATACCCTTGAAGTTTTCCTCAATTGCTTCGGCAGATTTGACCATAAAGGAGAGAAAGTTAGAGACAATGCGCAAGTTCATTTTCTTCCCGAACTACATAAAAGAAACACTACTTAGCAGGGTGAATGGGTTTAGGTGCCCAATTAGACGGCATACCTTACCTCAGATGTCACATTTTGAATTAACGCGATAATTAAGTCACTGAGTTTGTCAATCCATGAATTTGTGGGAATACTCGTGAGCAGACAGGCCCCCGCATGTAGAACGCGAAAAAGACGGAACAATGCGCTCAACACTTTCTGCTCCAGTTCGGGCTAAAAGAGCCATATTTCGCTTCAATTAAAAAAAACACGAAGTGCACGATGGGAGGATAAAGGATTAACTAACCGGAGGAGAAGTAGTTGAGCTACCAGCAAGGAATACGGGAGCCAGGCAGAAAGCAAACATCGTCGACAGGCCTGAACCCGAATTTTGTTTTCCATTTTTTGTGTTAGATTTTGGCAAATCAGTCACTCGTTTATGTAAGGTGGTAAGTTGAGTAAGGCGATCGGCCAGGGAAATCCACACTTGCAGTCCCGCTTCATTCACTTTTGCTGTGTTCAGCGTCACGCTCACATCTAAGTGGTGATAACAAATTGGCCAGTCTAATCCGAACCCTCAATTACAGAAAGCGTGCGCGTACAAAGTAAGTTCATACTTGAGTAATTAGGAACTCTCTAAGTGGGAGAGTCCTTATGTGGACAGATGTCACTACGGGAAAGAGGCGAAATGAATGAGCGCACTGATGAGGTACAGTGCAGATTAGTCTAACTGCAAAAAACCCAGTCATTTTTACAACAGACTGCTGAAAAAAGGCGCATAAATGACTAGCGGTTGAAATGAACTTACCAGATGAAGGAATGCAGTAGAGAGTATCGAGAAGTTTAAGATGTGTATCAACGAAATTGACACATTCGGGAACGAGTTTCGCAAGAAGCTCACGAAGCAGTTTGAGATGATCATCAACCGCGGTCGCAACGATATTAACGTTTACGGATAACCGAGCATCCCTTTCCACCGACTCAACAGCTAAAAGGCTGAGGTCCTTCATGATACTAAGCGAGGAGAAATTTCAGCATTTTACTGACTAAGTATAAATAAATACAAATATTTTGAGACATTTTAAAATCAATAAGCAAAGTGAGGAAAATAACTTTCGGAAGTGTATGAATTGAACCCGGAAAACACTGCACTCACAATATGAGATAAGTGAATGCTTTTGGCAGATGACAGTCTCATGGTTCAAATCACTAGTGATAAAATGCACAAATTGCAAGTACCGCGACGTGGGAGAAATTCCAGCTGGAAAAGCAACGTTGGTAGGCAAATAAAGTGCAAAAATAGAACCCATCCATCTGTTTGTTAATAGAAACCGGATGCATTTATAACAAATTTAAATGGGACCCAAAATCCCGAATTTTGACCAACCAAAAAAATAATTAAACGGTTCAAAGCAAAAAGTAAGCTTACTCCTCCAGAGCTAAATCAGCCGAAAGATTAGACGAGCAACCATCACGATGCCAGACTGAGATAAGATCCAGACAAGAGGCACATATGTCGTAATTCAGAGTAGATTTCAATTCCAAGGACATCTTTTCAAAGTCCAAAGAATCAGCAATTTCATGGAGGACAGTCTACAATTAAAATAACACACAAATACAGCCGATGCTACCTTATTTGCACAGGAAACGTTGCTAAGTATCTTACGACACAATCATCAGGACTGGGGTTTCGGGAGATATCAATATTGGAAGGTTCGATTAATGAGTTCGAAGAAGGTGAATCACCACATGGCGTCTGTGGGGAGACAAGACGCAGAGAGAGATCTAAGCTCTGCTGGATGAATGTCTCTCTGAGCACCTTCTATGAGAAAGAATCATAGTGAAGTGACAATAATACACTGCTTTAAGATTTATGCATGCATTACGCACGTCATTGGATGGGAAATCAGAAATCGCCTTTCTAATGCGCTTGAGACATTTGACCCATATATCGCCGATTTTTTGGTCTCCAACGGACTTTCCTGAGCCGCTTAAATAACGAAGCCAGTGGAACACCGCCACCAGAAGCTGATAGTTATGTGCGGAAAGAAACGAAGTGGAGACGGAAAGTTTGGGTACTAAATTGAAGACATTCAGTAAACAGTACTACACGAGTATCAAAGGCATAAGGCGGAAGCACCTACGTTTCTTTTTGTTCAAGAAGAGTTCAGGCTCTAGTTCAGGATAGTCAAAAATGCAGGAAAAAACATGAGCAGCAAGATCTTGGGATGTAGTGTCCCCATTATAAACCGAGGTTGAACTAAGCTGATATCGATGATAATTGGCTAAAAAAAGAAACTGATAATGCAAGGCGAGTTAAACGAATGTCAGCCGTAAAACGAACATGAACATACGATTTCCAAGAGAGGCAGTGATGCTGATGTAACGACCCAAGAGGTTTGCGAGAAACGGGGACACGAACTGAAGAGCAAAGTATTTTACACATCAACTGGCTCTGAAATGTGTGTGCAAGTGTGGGGAGATACAACTCACACGACGAAATCCATCGGAAAGCATTTTTTCCGGGAGAAGACACAAAAACCTCCACCAAGCAAGCAATCGCAAGGCAGAATGAGCAGCGGTAATGGGGAAGGCGCGAAGGACATCAAAAAACTTCATATAGGTTTGGGAGGTCATAATTTCTCTTAGGTCTTCTAAAGGTAGACTTGAGCAAGCAGGCGTACCGGAGATGTCAATTTGTCGTAAGAGATCGGAGAACAAAGATAAGGCATCGTTGGGCATCTGCGTCTCATTTAACTTTGCACCGATATTTAAGGGCGAAACCCGTAAAAGGCACAAGAGGAAATCCACAAAGGGAACGTACAATCCCGTAGACAAAAAAACCTAAATGACCCGTGGTCCACGAAAACAACAAAGAATAAACCTTCGGACACAGATATATAATTGCTCGCAAAACGTCCAGCGCAGCTGCACCGTTGCACTTGAAAAACTTGAGAGCAAATAATACAATCACCTATAGAAAGCTCGCAAATGTTTCAAAAGCATACTCTTGATTCTTCACAGAGTTCGTTGAAGGCACACGGTGTAATCGAATGATTATGAAGTATTGAAGATGAGAGGTTCGCCAACGTTTGCACGAAATCGCCATATCCATGCCGAACGAATGGAAGCACATCTTTAATGAGTCGGAAAAGCTCTCTGTACTCACAAAGTTCAATCGTTGTATTGTGCTTGACACTAGCTTCAAGAACTCTAAAGGACGTGCGAAAACAGCAGACAATAAAACGCCGGTGTGAGCCACAAAGGCAATATACACCTTTAAAGTAGGGAGAAACGAAAGTAAACATGGGACGGTTAGTAACGTACATTAGAAAAAACCTTGAAAAGTCCGTGCTGATTGATTTATCTTGCAAGCACTTTTTAACGATTGCGCTGTCAAGGCGTTGTTCAGCAAACGCACGAATCTAATAACAGTATTAGGCAGAAAAGCACCCACGGTGGCTGAAGGGTTTGAAAGTAATTCTATAGGTATTTTACAGAGAAAGTTGTTGAGACATAACTTCCAGAAATCAGAATCAACGTGTCTGTACATGCATTTCAAAATGGCAGCAGCCAAAAGGCAGAAGTCATCTTCGGGGAAAGGTGCTCTAATTTGTTACAACTTATCACAAAACAAACCCGTGTGAAAAAATAGCAACGCACAACTCAGCTATTGAAGTGCATTCTTTCAAACCTGAATTCGAGAGACGTGAAATAACACCCTTGTCTTCGTTCAAAAATCCGTCGAAATTGATACCATCAAATGTACAATTGCGACCGGTTAGAAGTCTAACTATTACCAGTGATAAGATGATTACCTTTGTAAATCTTCCAGGGCATTAGAAAATGCTTGTTGGTCACTTGATGATTCCAAACACCTCTTTAGAGTATCCTCCATTTTAGGCTTCGACAATAAAGTACTATTTATTTTGCAGAAAATCACGGGTACAATTAACCACTAGGACTATTCAACGACAAGGTTGGACGGAACGCAGATAAGAAGACGAGCTTTAAGATAGGAAAATATCCCACAAAGTGTGCCGGAGTCAAAAGAACTCCAGAGAAATCCCACAGAGCGACGACAGAAGGCACGCCCCGATCCGGAGTTTTGAATGACCCGCACTAACTTAAATTTCTTGGTGCCGATCCGAATTAATAACAACATAATATTTTCGCATATTTTTTTACCCTATTTTGTGCTTAGCACCGCAGGTTAATACAGTAGGCACTATTTTAAAATCTTTGGAGACTCTTTTATAGGTTATAAGATACCTTGAACTCTTTAACACCCATAGTAAAATACGTCTCAAATAACATTCTCTTACCCAATAAGCCATATCATTGGCATCGCTATCACTGCAAATGTTGCAGTTTATCTCTATTCTCGCCCGGTTGTAGTTGTATAATGACGAATACTATAATTACATAAAGTGGATTCTGGAATTGTATCAGGTGTGTTATTAATGCTACTGCAACCCTATGCCACATGTTTTCCTACAGACCAGGAATATAGGCACTGCTAGTCACTTTTAATTGCCCTGCGCTTATTTCATTAAAATCCTGGGAGTACGTTTTTAGTTTATTTACATGATGCAATTTGGCTAATCATCGTACCACATCGTAGGTTCATTGCATAAAATCGAGGTTCTTTCTCATTTATCAGTATTTCGTTTTTAAAATGGAATCATGCAAATGGGATCCATATGCTTGGAGTTATTCTCTTTTGCATCTTTGACCTATTGGTGACAAGATGACAGTTGACCTAATCATTTTCACACAAACGACGTGTCACACCATTGTCACAATGCGTTACACAGGCGCGCACACACCGACCCAACATATCCATCCCCATTAGCGAGGGTTGACAACTTTGTGCCCGACTTACGAACAGCCCCCACGGAATTTGTGGGCGTGTGACAAACATTTCAACCTAGGCAAATAAACTGCAATTTTTCTTCGGTGACTCATGCCATCCTTCGTTATCCATGGTGGCCAGCAAAACGCAGCAGATGTTTACACAAATTTGAATTGTTTGTACATGAGTTTATGCCATGTTGTTTCTGCCTTAAGTATCTCAGTACCTATTACATGTGCATATAGCGAAGCTGCATAAAGATGATTCATTTGCAAACGTACGCGACTCATTACCAAAGCCTATTAGCTACTGCGATTGTTCAAAAACTCCCGCACTTTGGTAAAATAATTCTCAAAAACCGGAGTTATTGCATGTAGCCTATGTAGCCTAATTTTGTTTTATCACCACGAGAGTTCCAAAATGTAGTAGCACATGCCATTTTCAATACATAGGATTCGAGGCCATTTGTGACCCTTGCTCATCGGAAATCTTACACGAAATCCAGTATTTCTCGCTTCCGCAGCATTTGAAAGGTGGTGGCATCGACGAAACAGTATTCTACCATTTTCTTTACCATGTTATTTTGTCCCTATGCCCTTTATAGTATTGCAGAATTTTACCCCGTTAAAAAACTAATCGCTGCCGTATCTTTGGGAGGAAATAATCATTTAAAAATCACCTCAAACTGAAGTTCTGTGAACCGTCGCAACTATCTAGGATTTCGAATTATTGCTGAACATAGTCTACAAATAGGGTTTCTCCAAAGCCTGGATGTATTCGCAGTACGTAGAGTCAGTTGAAGGCAAGGTCAGAATGGTAGCCAGATTAGGATCGGTATGAGTGGATCACCAATGGTGTAATTAACGTGAAAGGTGGGCATTAATAAGCAGGCCTTCCCTTGCGCGGGTCTGGAAAGCCCAGTTACAAATATAGGCACTGTAAAGCACATTCTTCTGAAACGAGCTTCCATGTGCAGTTTTAGTGAGTACAAAATGTACTCAAAAGAATCCTAACCATTATTGTTTTCAATTGTTTACGGCATTGTGTCTTTCATTTGCGTTTTTTGTGAGCTAGGCGAATGACTATTTTTAAAGGCATCAAAGTGAATGAACCTAAAACACATATAAGCCCGTTTAATTCAAGGAACTTTTTGGCAAAATGGAGTGAAGATTAGTTTATTCCAATAGAGCGGACTTTTTTTTCGCCGTGGAATTCCATTAACCGCTCAATTTGTCAAGAGGCTCCATCCAGACAGACAACAGGTAGGACGGATTTTGGCGAGTCATTCGCCTTCTGGGGTAGTAGTTTTTTTTCAAAAGTTAACCTATTCATAACGAGCTTCGGTGAAATCCCATAATTTACCAGCTCACAGCCTGCGATTTGTCTGTGCCGGCTAGTTCGCTGCAATGTGATTTTTTGAGGTGCAGTTTTCCACTAAAGTGGCAGCGGATTTTACTAATTTTTCGATTTGGTTACGTTAAGATGAGGAGCTTGTGGACGTCGTTGAAGGTTTTAAGAATATGAAATGCTAAATTCGTACAAATAATTGTGATACACCCCGACAGTTGCAGCCTTCATTAGGTATTATGAAATAGATATGCTTGCCAAAGACAATCTCAAAGTGCTCTGGAACTCAGGGAATCAGAGATTCCACACGTCCAAGCTCACAATCCAGTTGGTATAAATTTTGCCTAATGAGCAACTGAACTCATTTATCCTACTCTCAAACAGCGCGCAACTTTTTAAGGTCTGAAAACTTACGATTCTTTACTTGGCAAAAAGTTGTCTGGGTTATCTTGCTTTGGTGCACACCCATGACACCACCACCACTGCTTCTGAAAAGCCTAGCTTACGGCATTTTTAGCATTAAAAATTTCTCCCCCACCAAAGATACGTCATAAATTCCTAAGAAAGCATTAAAGTTTCTAGGATTTATTGTCATTGTCGGTTGAAAGCTTTTATAGATCTGTAAATTCGGTTGCATACCCCAGTAAGTACATTTGGCCACAGGATTTTTCATCACTTTTCCCTACCACTGGGTCACTATCGGCCCAGAAAACATACTTATTTTGCGTTTTCTGTCATAAATAATAGTGTACCATGGATTCTTCTTCAATAAGCAGTAATTTTGATACGGATATTCCAATATTCTATAAAATAAGGAGGCTTGACTTGCGCAAAAAACCTACTATAGTGGTCGAGCTACCCTTACTTGATGCAACTTATTCTCAGCCCACCATGGCTTTTAATCAGGCTGAGAGTTTGATCAAGTAAAGAACTTCATGGCCATTCTAGTCAACAGTTTGCACTTGGTCTAGATGATCCTATTTTGCTGGTAGACATCCAGTCTTTTGATGTATTTGTCGTACTTCTTTGCAGGAAAATTGATAAGGAATTGAATTTAAACGAATAAACGCATCACTTTTTGTAGGTTGCTATGGTCGATTACAATATATGTCAAATTTTTCGAAGTCGCCAAATGAATTTTTTCCCCTCCTCTCTGCATCATCTCAAATTTTGATATCTTTGCACGTCTAATTGAGGTAGATAAACTGCTGCGTAAGTGGTCTGGTGGATTTGGATTTTCGTTCTGAACTTACTTTGATGCAATGGGTGTACCTTTTCTTTGATAAAACTATTCAATCTGTTGCTGTTCTAGCAATGCTTGAACCCCTATTTATTGTGATGGAAGTGAATTTTTCAAGATGGCGTAATAGGTATGAGGATTTCCACCACTGCTATAAATGCGTCTCTTGCCTGTGATTTCTTTGGACTTTTTCCTACCCACTGAGCCTTCACGCGCCCCGACGATAGCCACCTTCCTCCCCACCCACTCCAGCACAACCTCCAGCCGCATTAAGTTGAAAAAGGAAGTACTTGCCTAATTTTCGATCCTAGAATGCGAGAAAAAGCGGCATGCCCGCCATATATTTCTTTTTGGGAAGGTAGCAGACGGAATTACATTTTATCATCAGCTCGCGCTGGTACATCACCACCACTACTGACATCGTTGGAAATGTCAGATTGGCTAGTCGCCGTCGAGGTGTTGTGTGTGCGTGTGTGTTCGGGTGGTAGGACAGGTGGTGGAAGAGATTGAGGATGAGGGAGGGGGGGAAGGGTAGTGGCCGTAATTTCCCTCATTTGGTTTTAGACAGCTTTTTCCCTCCAGTCTGATTATGCAAATATTCACCCTTATTTCCATAATCTTTTTCTTCCTGATAATAGATCAAATTAAATTCTTCAGCTGAATCCACCAACAATTTTTTTGAGGTATGAAGTACCCTCTTCGGGCACTAGTGCATATGGTTTCTGCAGCGAACCAAAATAGAAACATGTATTGTGGACAAGATTCTAGAAAAAAAAACAAACCTAATGGAACACATGAAAGCACCACAGAACCGACCGTGACAATACCTCTGAAAGCTCATTTCCCATACTCCACCTGTCCACTGTTCCCCTTCCTGAGGGAGTCACAAAGCATAACTGGTGCTCTTAAAGTTCTCCTCTACCAAGTGAATCATTTGCTGAAGGCAGAACTTGGTGAATCATTTGATAGACTCTCTTTATTCGTATGATTCACTTTTTCCCACATCTGAAGGGGACTTTCCGAAGTAGGTAATAGAACCTTTAATATGTTTTTGTTAACCCCGTAAAAGTATAATGAGTCAATTTCCCCTTATTCACAGCTTAGTTAAGCCCCCTTACAAATAAAGTATGGCGGATTGACGAGCCCATTATAAAGTGCTGGTGCAAAGATAGGCGTTTTCACGTATATGCTCATCTCTAGAAGTTCAAACTACTCAGTCTTCATGTTCGCGAATAAATTAAAAGCACGCTGAATTTAAGAAATACTATCTGGATACGCTTACCATGCCTCTGAGGAAGGGATATCCAAATTAAAAAATAAAATTACGCTCTGCAGGCACGTTTGAGTAAGTTGCCTTTCAGATTTATCGAGTTCCGCTGAAATGTGGTGGAATGGATCTCTTGTCTTCACTGCCTCAAAGCCACGGTTTAGGGGTGTACGCTGTTCCATCAGGGGGGCAGATCCAAGGGAGATTCGTTAGCAGTTTCAGTGGCACTCTGCTAAGTAAATCGTAATCCGTTTTCGTTAAAATTCCTCCCATGCCACACTCTTTGTGCCGATAATTTGTACGAGGGTTTTCCATCATCTAAACTCTAGTATTTTATAACAGGATAATAAAATATTATAAAAAAATAGGAAATTGACTTCAATTCACTCCAAAGCTTTTCTTTAAGGTTGAATATTTTGGAAACTGGAAGCAACAAGTTGAGAAAGTGGAACTCAACCTATTCTTACAGAAGTAAGAGACATGGATTCGCTGTTCTCCAGTTCACATAATCATCACAATGGCTTGATAGTCACATTTTGATGGATTGCGAGCTAGCGTTTGAATACCACTTTGGGTGGCGGCCAAGACGATAGCCAAATTGCATTATATGTATCAAGTCGATGGGTTAACCCCGGGGGGACAATTCACTGTGCCCGGGTCTCACATCAATATATCTCCTACATACTTTGTTCGACTACAAAAGTATGCAAATGAAGTAATACGTGTGATATTTGCACCTAAAATTTTATTTTACTTAATAACAGATACACGCCTTAATTAATCGGTGGCATCCTGATTTTGAATAGTGGCTTTTGAGGATAAGGCTAAATTGCAATGGCTCTTATCCATGGACGGAAGGCGAATGCACAAGCATGGAAAAAGTACTTGTTCGTCAAAAGTGAAACAAGTGTGTGATCACATCTTTAAGATAATCAGAGCATTTAAAAATGGAAAAATCGGCCAGCGTAAACGCTTGTAGCAGACCCAAAACAAACTATCAATTTTCCACACAAATCAAATGGGTATTGAAGTTTTGCCTCTGCTTATATAATGAGACAAAGAGTAGTGACATATGGCTTTCCTACACGAATTAAGAATTGTCAAGTGATGAGACCTTTGGAACTATTTCCATGACCTCTTCTCAATGTGTTATTGTTTTATCCTTAAAAAGGCGATAGTGTCAAATCGTCTTGAAAAATAGTACACTGAGGAACAAAGAGCAAAACTGAGGATTTAACACAATTCCCCCTCACCTTCAGTAATTATTTTATATTCGTAAGTGCGGTTTATGGCACCTTACATTTCTATACTAGTTAAAGAGAGTTTGTGATCTTCAGCCGACTCAAACAATGCAGACACTGCGTTGGCTTAAGGTATTCGGTGCTTGTTCCAACCAGTTCATGTCCATGACTTTTAAACTGACAGTATTAATGTCCACATTACACAAAGTTTACTGACCTCTGTGGGCTGTGAATGATAGTTACGAACAGCTATCTTTTTACTTTACTTTTAATTGCATTTACCCTATCGCAATTTTGTCTGAACAGATAAAGCCTAACATACCCCTGTCCTTGTGCGTTGAAAAAGGAATGAAATAAATGCGAAGTTGTGCACAAGCAACTTTGAATTCACAACGTTCGCGACCGAAGTTGTTTGAAGTGCAGTCTCACTGACACCTTGGTAAGTACAACTTTCAGGGGTATGTCTGGTTTGCGTATGCAAATATTCCTACAGTCTAATGGGGCCGGAGTTCATGGAGCTCTTTTTTCTCATAGAAGGTGGCGTTCCAACATCAATCACCTTCGGCGTCCCAAAGTCTCCTCCCGGCGCTCATATGCGCACACAGCGCTCTGCACCCCACGTCCAGTGTGCTTCCAGCTGGACAGAAGGGCTGTGAGGCGAAAGATTGTGGCGCAACTGCGATTTGGACGGAGGTCCATTGGCCCTTAATAGAGGCACCATAAAACCGTCCAAATGATTGGCATAAATCCCCTTTCCTGCACTCCCTCCACTCTACCTCCCCTCGCCCCGCCTTGCCCTCGGCCCCACGCCCTGCGAAGCCCGGCAGGTGTAGCGCTTTTATCACATATACGGACGTCGAGACTGGACTGACCATATTTCACACCCCGTGGGGCGGTATGCGAGCTCTGGAAGAAATGTGACGGCGAATTAGGTATTAGCATACAGACAGGAGTGTCATAATTACAAATAGGTAGTTGCGCCCCTCTTTGATTAACACTTTTTGGCTAAACCCGATCCACGGTGTAAAATTACTCTTCTATGCAGATAAATTGGTGACAAAAAATAGGAACCTCGTGCGACTGTAACTTGGGTTTCTTATTAAATCCCAGGAAGTTCTATGCTTACTTCTCAAATTTGGCTAAGTGTCAAGATATGTGGCATACAGTTAATCCACACATTTCAGAATTGAATGATATGGATTAAATCAAAATAAAAGGGACATGGGACACATGCTTTAAAGCCAATCATAATTTATTTTCCTCTGTACTCCTCTCTTACTAACGGTGAAATTCTCACTTCCTCATACCATCTGTTTACCATCAAAAATTTGGATGAAGTCTATTTCAAAGGCATAAATTTACGTTCCGAAAATCTTATCTTGCTTTTGTGAGAGGTTCTCAAATGTCACAAGAAATATGTCATAAGTTCGCCAATTACGGTCTACATGGGTACTCCTTAATTATTAACCGATTACCGGTGGCTATCAATGATTGTTAAAACTAACTTATAAGAGGGGTCTCACATCCGGCTAACATTTTTTGTGGCGTCAGTTTGTTATCCATAATTTTGCTAGAAAATCTGTTTCATGCAATCGCCGCCTTGGTGACACTGAGACACGCCTAAGTTTTATCCAACATTCCGTCTACCCATCACAGTCTCGATGTCCGAACTACGAGGCTGTGTCCGGATGGCAACACGGAAGAAAATAAGGTGACCTCTCCACCTCACGTCCCTCCAAGTCCCTCCCTTGCACACATGCGCACACACAAACAGAAGACAGACGGAAATCTTCATGCTGCAGCTAGGTCGAGGGTGGGGGAGGACGGAAAAAGTGATGCACGCAGGTGCGGTGCTGAAACAGCAGGAAGTAGGTGAGAGGGTGAGGGCTCTCGAGTACCTTATCGCCCTGTGTTTATCTCCCCATCCACGCCACGGCATCAAGCCCCTCCCCTCCGCTTAATGTACACGGGTCTGCTGACTAGCCCCCACTGCGGGGGGCGTCACTTTACCATCTCGAGGGCGCACGTGTGCCTCCTCTTTGGAATAACTTCTCCGGGCCTCAGTCTCTCTCTATCTCTACCATTGCTTCTGCTTGTCTCCACCGCCACCGCCCCCAGCAGCCATTGTCCCCCATATATGTGCACATGCACGAACACGCGCAAAACGCTACAGGTGAAACTTTTGTTAAGCTTGTGTACGGGTGTGCTTGCATGGGCACACAGATTTTTTTATTGATGTGAAACAAGAAATAGACATTTAATACACATCATGTGGACCTCTCTGTGCGCATGTAATTGTGTGCCTGTATCAAAGAGACACGTAAGGGTGGGGTAGACACTAATCAGACGAACACGGTCATGCGTTCCCAACGTGCGGCACTGGCAAGAGGCAAAAGAATGCCTTGTCATCAACAGTAATCTTCCACAGATGTGATCAATTACCAATGAATTCATGCACATCCTTGGTAATGAATCAAGTAAGAAAAGTAGGCGACATTGAATGACGTCATAAGAAGTCAATCCAATCATCTCATTAAGTTCAAATTTTACGTCAATCAGCCCTCTGCAACTCCAGTTTTGATACTTTAAATGGATTAGGGGCTCCTAGTTCTATTCACAAGAACAAATGGCGTATACATTGATTTGGTGTAACCGTGTCTGAGCACACGATGCACAAACTTATCATGAAAACGCGTATTAATCACGTAGCAATCAACTTTTAGCACTTATTTGGAAATGTCCTCTTTCATAGAACTCATCGGCCCCACTGCACTATAAAAGTGTTCGTAAACCGCGTTATTGTGTGTAAAATGCCACAAATTTGGTAAGGATCGGTTCAAAATCAAACATAGCAATTGAGTGCCCCGTAGTGAAATAATGTTAGATCACTGAAGAAACCAGCACAAATGTGCTTCAATTTTACAGTACCACGATTCAACCAGACTCATTCATTGTAATGTACAAACACCAGTAGTAGATGTTGAAATCGAGGTGGATTAACTAGCCTTGCAATGCCCATCTCCTGATCACGAAGGACTTTTAATGCAGGGCTATTTCAGCCAAACACGTTTCAAAATCGTGCAATATCAAATTACGCGCATCGTTTTAATGCACTCGACCCAAGGAAACCTTTTGAGCGAAAATTAGGTTGGATACTCGACGAGCTGTGAATCTGTCGCCCGAATGTATAAAATCCTAATTGAGTTGTGTAGGGGTCAGAGGGCAGGACCTCCAACTGTGCTTGTGTGCGTGCATTTATTTTGGGCCTAATTAAAGAAGGATTAAATGAATCTGACCCCTAAAGGCGTTCATGCGATGCTGAGGTCAAGAAGGGTAGCGTGCCGTCCAGTAAGATAAACGATATTAACAAGGTAATAAAAGTGGCACAATCAAGAACTGGGATAAGAGATAATTTGTTGTGCAATGCAATAAAGTGAGGATACATTGAAAACTTTACCTAAAGGCGGTAGGTGTTGATTCTGCCTAGTGATAGGTTCGGAAATATTCATGCCAGTTTAACGAAGCCGAGAACCTTACATAAGACACTTCAATAAATTCTACGGTGATTTTTATAGTAATTCTTTAAAGAAAGTGACTTTAGGTAAGTCTGTTATTGAAAAAAGGGGTGTCTTTTAATGGACACCTAATTAAGTTGGCCATTTCACAAATATCCACTGATATGCATCCTCTTAAAAGCTAAATGCAATTAATAAGTGACTTCAGACAGAACAAAAGTGTGTACAAACAGCTTTAGCCATATGAGTTTTTGCTCATAAGTTGTCCAATTCTGGACATACTTATTTTCCAGACTGGTCTCAGCATCAGGTCTTACTTTAACATTTAACTTTCCGTGACCATGGAAAAACAGGCGGCTTCGATACCACCCATTTGATGGTCATCCTACCGACTACTACTATTTTTTACTCTAACTCAGCTGTAATGAGACTGTAGCTAAACTCAGACAGCTGCCAATGTAATCAATGTCGAGTGGTTATTTACCAAATCGTGAAGTGGAAGTCCCGTTTTTGGATTTTTACGGAAACTATAGGGTCTTGCAATAAGAAGTCGGCCAGATGGGCATGAAGAAAAGGACACCTCAAGGAGTGGTTAGAGTCAGTTCACACCGACTGACCAGCGCATTGCCTGTCCGTAGCGAGAATAAGCGCTGCCTGACCTCTGCACCGTACCCAAATATCAAATCATTTCCCTAGCCGGAACGTGAACTACAAGATAGGACTGGCACCTTAGAACAATTTGCAATTACTGTGGTTTAAGTGTCAATTATCCAACGTGGGATGACCTCCAAAGCCAACTTTTTGTAACCCACTGTCAAAGAAATGTTGAAATTCTCGTAGAAATGACGTGCACCTGGACAGAGGGGGTCGAAGGTTTGCTGTTCAAGAAAACCCTATTCTTTTAATACATCTTAACGGTATGCCACCTGCTCGAGCATAATAGGCGATTCCAAGATTAAAATTACTTTTACCTCACCTTGAAATGCAATTTTTTATTACCCATCAATTACAAGGTGTGGCACTGACCAAGGCTAAATACTTAATGTATTTTCGATCTTATGCCTTAATGAATTTAGGTAAAGGAGGCCAAAACAATGATGCATTTTCGTGCATTTGCAGATCTGAAGTGGGAAGGCGGTTAGCAGGTGAAATTGGACTTCTTCATTACTAAAATTTCCAATTTGTGTTGAAACGTGCCAAGTCATCCCTAGTGTTAACAAATGCTTTTGAGCACTGTAGTATAAAAGAGAAGTGCACAAATAACGTCTTCTGTACATGTGATGGCACAGAGCTTCAAGAGTGAAAACTGTGCAGGTGGGGCATAGAGGTCCATTATTTAACGAAAGCAGGGCTACAAAAGGACGCTTTCACAAAAATCACATTGGGCTAGAATATCCACTGGTAGTAGAAAAGCCACACGAATCATTTACTCAAAGGGTTCATGCAGGGAAGGAGTCGCATTCGGTGCAAAACATCTAAATAGCTTAAAAGGCAACAGCCTTCTCACACCGCACATTCAAAGGCACTACAAATGGCTTTCACTAATGCGCTTAGCACATACACTCTATGCCACCTGTCAATTCGGCAACCAATAAAATCGTCACTCAGTGACGTTCCTGATCGAGGGATAGAAATTGTTGATAAGTCAAGTTGCCAAACGTGCCTTGTGGCATTTTATGACCACAAGCGAATTTTTTGTGACCAAAGAATGCACTTGGCGGCAAGCGATTTGTTTACGCCTCCTAATAACCTTAAAACTTTTATCGGTTGGAAGCGGGTACTGTGTACTTCGTTTTGGAATAACTAAGTACTTTTACTGCCAACTGTAACGAGCTGCATTCGCTCCGTTGCTTTTTCTCTAATTTCAAAGAGGGCAATTCATGCAGCAAAGTAACTAACACTTTACTCCTTTGGTTTGCCTTCCCATTACTTTGTTGGTCTGACGTCTACATTAAATTTTGGAAGAATTAGTCTCTTTGACTAGCATATGCCCCTCAGTAGAGCACAGTGAAGCCTTTAGACAGGCCTTTCTGCACTTGGTCTCCATTTAATGGCTCACTCTATCTAGCTAATTAAGTAAGGCACTCTTCAATTTGCTCAGGTTTTGGAATGCCAAATAACAAATCAGAATCCTGTAGGATATGCTATGTTGATAGCAACATTTGAATTCATACAATGCAAATTAAGGCAAATTCCTAAATCTCCTTCTTTGCATTCCAAACTCAAGATCGGATTGAGACAGTTGCGTCCACTCAAGTCACGTATATGCTATGACCATTGTATCTTTATGGATTTAGAACAGGAAAGAAATGAGAAAAACAGCACTGTGGTAAATTTAAGCATCTTGATATTGCTGTAGTCGAACAACGCTAAGTTGTGTAACACTTCTTCAAACCACTTTTTGGGTCTTTGGCTTTTAAGGTGATCATGGTAAAATAAGAAATATCCTAACAAAAAGTTTGAATATGAAGTTGGAAATAACAGAATTTGCAAGGCTAGTAAGATCAAAAGTGGAGAAGCATGATGGATTAGGGCTGTAAATTTTACAAAAACGATTGGAACTGGAAGAGTTAAAATTGAATTGGCAGTAACTCTACAATTTACTGAGTCATGAAGGGTAGATAAACTAGCGTACTTCGTGTACCAACCCCATAATAGATAAGCCCTATAAGATAAGTACCATTTCCCATGTCTTTATTAGAGATGGGTCTTCAAAAGTAAAGGCTCATAGTAAGGCAATCAGCGTTCTCTAAATTTAAAGCAAGTGTTCCATATTGTTAACGTTTACATTCGAAAAATTTGTATCCTCTCTTGAACATGGTGAAATGTCTGCTGTTATTTCGAGCTCATGAGGGAGTATTGGCCACAAATGATGTAATTCCAATGGAATGCAAACATCTTATTTATCAGGAGTGCGATATCGTTTCTTTGAAATGTGTTAAATTTACCATAAATGTATGGACATGTAGGGATATGGGAGATGAGGTTTCAAAAATGATTTACATTAAACGCTTGAATAAAAACCTCCCACTTTTCTATAAGATAATGTTGCATAATTTTCTTTCTCTAAACAGACAGTTTTAAGTGCAAAGTCTAGTAAGTAGAAGATGGATAATTATGAAAAAAAAAAAAGCTATCTGTATTTTTATCGGCTCATGTTAATATTTATCGTTTACGACACAACTACTACCAATGGAAAGGTAAGCCGTTTCATCTAAGTGCTTGCCTCGAAAGACAGTGGACGCGTGCATCTTAATTGTACTTTAAAGACAGTTGTATTCGCTTTAATTTAACACCAGCTTTTCAGATGAAGACCTTTACCTCTCACCAACAGAATAAGCTGACGGCACACTTGTATCTTTTTATTAAATTCAACAATCTACCTGCACTGAGCTAATGCAGTTTAACAACAACAGAAAATACTTAAAGGAGCTGATCTCTAGTAATATAACTATGCATCTCGAAATTTAATCTTTTCACTGAAGAGCCCGTAAGGAGACTCAATACTAAGAATAACTATGGCAGGGTCATCTTCACCGGATGCTGGCAATACCAGTAGAGCTTCTCTGAGAATGGCACACGTGCACAAATGTGCGTTCTCGCCCAGAAATTTAATCCGATCTTCTTACCAACCGATGCTGTGAAAGCATGTCAAAGGGGGCAATGGGAGGTGTAGGCACAGGTTCGGTGTGTGTGCGATGCTGTACGTTGTATTGTGTTGTACTGCGGTGCGGCACTTGGAAAGTGCCAGTCGGACAATTGCGCGCGCACGCGCGCGAAAGCACACCCATTTCACCCACCGACCACCAATGAATGTTCAAATTGCCTGCACGCAGGAACACACGCATGTGCGTGCATCCCCGCTCTGGCTGGTGCCCAACGTACGATTCCGTATTACCCACTTGTGCCCCAAACATTCCCATTATCTCTTCTCGTGGATGATCTACATTCGCTGAAAGGTCGGTTACGCCTCGAGAATAGACTCGGGAGCAGATTCAACAACCGGATTTATAGGTCGACCCGCAACGCTCTCCGTAAGTGCAAACTTTGCCATTTCGAAGGACCGGTTTATCTGGGGACTCTTTTGAGTGAGCAGCTACCTTTATTAATTGTGTGAAGTCGCTTCACTGACATTTGAGAGGAAGAATGAATGCGCTGCAACAAAGGCAAAGAGCAGCGACACTTTTAGGTAACAATATTTAAAACCGTGATCACACTAGCAGAGGTGCAGTGGGAAATGCCAGCGTTTGACCTTTGCGTGGGTTTTCAATATGTTAAAAGTTGGAATGCACATACATTCGTAGGAAATCAAAGAGGGAAACAATAATAGGCTTTAACTTCTAGTACACGATTGTCGTTTCCCATAATTGCTTTTATTACATATGTTTTACACAATAGATGTGACAATTTGGCTTTTACTGTAGCTGTTTGACAATCGTGAGACGTTGGATAGTGTTACTGGTTTTTTAATTTCTTACAAAACGCAAAATTGGCGAAGTAACGTATTAGACGGTGAAAAGCTTTCGTAGGGATTTGTAAGATCTCTAAACGGTCGGACTAATTGGAACATCACTGGTAAGCAAAAATCCTTAAAGGTTGAGAAGAATAATTCACTAATACCTAATACCATTATAATTGGCTGAAATGTACCCAAATAATAACTACTGTTTGTGTTTCCACTTCGCTCACAGCCCCATTAATGAAACTTTGGATGACATAATCTTGGACGATAGATACAACTGAAATCAGGAGTCGCATCTTACGTAGGTTAAAGCAAGTTACCGAAAGTTAACATTTCATTGGTTAATTTGCCAAGAAGCTTATTGCATCCTCTGCACCATTCATTCACCAAAGGGAATAATGTGCGTTATAGCCTCCTTTGACCAATCACATTTTAACGTTAATGTGAACAAAGTCAATAAGCATGAATGCCTACTTTTTATGCCCCCCGATTTACATATGAATCCTTTTAAAACCGTTTAATTGAAAGCTCATACATTCATGATTAAGTAAAACTTAGTAGACGCCTCCCAACAAGGAGGGATCAGTAATACCCAGAAGGAATTTTAGTCTGTTACAAATGTCTTTGACGGCATATGTATGGTAGTTCTCCAAGCATTCCACTTTCCATAAATTGTAATCGGTGGATTGTAGTGCCGGTGCCTACCATAATGGTGTGGTAGAGTACGGGAGGGCACTGTCGAGTGGAAAGGCTTTGATATATTTTTCATTTTCATTTTTCACCGACATCTTATAGGTGATTCTTTATTTTCGGGGTCTACTTGACACATGCCTAAGGCGTATGTTACTATGGTTGTGGAAATTAAAGAGTGAGCTCTAAGATTTTGATAATGTTTTTTTGACAATCTATGATTTGGAGCTTCATAATGCATGCGATCGCAATTCACTGCTTGCGAAGTCCTGATTTTCAATGAATTTTACTACAAGTGGTGTTTTACTGAACATACACGACAGGATACTCCATCCAACAGTATTAAGGCACTTGAATATCTTCTTCAGTGAAATGGTTACTGGGAAAACAAAACTAGTAGTTACCCAAACTCTTGTCCTTCAACTGTACTGTTTAATAGTAGCGAAAGACATTTAGACCTTTCCGTCCACATTGCTTTTTTCTGTCAATCAAATAAACATCATGCAAATTAGAATGGACAGACGAGCTGCAGACCCTATCGTAGTTATTTACAAATAATGTTCGTGTGGTAATGAAACAGAACAGTACACATTTGGACACCATTGCACTGCAGTTGCTGTTGAACCTTCGACACAAAACGCCCGTGAAATGCTCCTCTAAAACTCTAGCCTGTTGGGTCCTCTGATGACCGATGCCGTCCCATTGGATTATTTTTTCAATTTCATTCGGGCAGAGGATAGTAGGACGACTCTAACCCTACTGAACGACCGAATTCGGTTAAGATTCCACTTAAAGTAGATTCCTTGAAAGGAAATGTGACTCCTATTATCCGGTAACCAACTACTAGTAATGTGTATCATTGTACCGGTTAAGTTATTACCTTCTTGCTATATTCCAGGTGTGAAAACCACTACCAATTTATAGGTTTTTATTTAACTGATGAGAACAGTTTGACTCAAACGAAAATTCAAGGGTCTAAAGACTTTTGATGGCGATTGACTCTATTTCCATACAGGTTAATATTGTTGTGTGTTACGAACATCGGTTGTCTTTCAGTCCTTTATAACTCCATCAACCGGGTGGCAGCTCTCGTGCACAAAGTGACGCATGAAAAGGTACTTGGGGCTCAGCCCTATCAGGCAGCTGTAGGGGCATTTCATGATATATCATTGACGTGCGAATCATTTAAATGGAAGCATGAGACATCACCTGTCAGAGATGGAAATGAATGTATTATGAATACCTAGGTTATTTGATCACGCCAAGACAAACATACACTCCTTCAGGAATTAATTAGGTTTGCTGTAATTTTTTTGTCATGGAAAACTTGATCATGGGCCTCCTTCTTCCCGAATTAATAAGAGACACAGCATTCCCCTTACACCGTCCATTGGTGGAGTCCATTGTCAACCTTCAGGACTATCAAAATCAAAAACATGATTAGAAAACAACCGAAAAGGTTCCTGCCTAGGTCTTTTGTTGTCTTGAAAGAGACTCACACAAGCACTTTCGTTTCCTGCGGCGTCACGTATGTTGAAGTCCCTTAATTTGGGGTTTTAATCGGCTGTGCATCATCGCATTCGTATGCGAGACTCTTAACAGAAACTTCCTGGTCCGTGATCGCAACACTAACGGTGGGTCCAACGAGGTCTCAAATTAAAATGCCATAGAAGTATGACACTTAAGGAAGCAAAAATAGAATTGTAGGCAGTCTGATGTCGTAAGTTAATGGATGAAATCTAGAGGAACAGGAATATGAAACCTTTTTGGCATAATTAGCCAATCATTTACCAGTCTTCAGTAGAGTTCGTGCTTAACGACTTCTACACTTCAGCTGTGATAACAACATATTTAGCTCTTTGAAATACACCTTGCATTTTGCAATGTTGCCGAGTCTAAAATGCTGTTGCACTGATTAGCCATTATGGCCACTAATTGTGCCCTTTGTGACAAAGTAAATTTGACTTGTTTCCCAATCAGTTTATATGCGCGATTTGTCCAAGAACTCCGCAAGCTCTAAAGCCTGCACTTCATTCAGTATATTGCAGAATGAAACACTCACCTTACCTTTGCATTTTCATCAAGTTGTAGAACGAATATATTTGGCGATAAACATGGGATTTGTCGATAATAACTTTCACATTACTATTCCAAATCTAAGATCATTCAAAATGGCAACCCCATAACCGGTACAGCCTTGCGCGGTTGAGACACATCCCTTATCATACTTTAGTCCTGATCTTGCCAAAAGGTAAACCATTTAAAATCACATATTTTAAAAATTCAAAGTTAAACTTGGTTTGCTTGTGTCTCCTCCATTATTTTGTTATTGAAGCCATCAATGTAAGTTGATACCTCCATACATAAATGATCTGGCGTTCATTCGAATGAAGCGATCACCCATTGACTACCTAGAGAACTTCTTAGTTGTTTACACAAGCCGATTTATGGGGTAAAAATGAAGCACAAGTCTCGTGACTGAGGTCATTTCATCCTAGCATGAATTGAGTGAAGAATTCTCAAACCGATATATGAGTGAATCCTCGACGCTCTGTGGACGAATTTTGTAATCCAGTCACCAAAGCCATTTGTCATGAATTGTTGTTGAGAACGTTCTCCTACTCTGATTGAAACTCAACACAGTTGGCAGTTGACAGCGCCTTTACCATAGGGAGTCGATTGTTCTATCCACAGCAGATCGATGTGTCCACACAAAAGCGTACGTGTGTGTAAACTTGTCTGTATGTGTGAATTAAAGCCCAAGCCCAGCTACTGCAATGTAGTTGGCAAGTGCAAAAAATATAATTAGCTGGTAGTGGTAGTGGCAGTAGTCCCAGAGGCAGCAACAACAGTGGCAGCAGCGCTAGCAGCAGCAGCACCAACGGCATCGGCAGTGGTAGTAGCAACAGCATGCAGACACACAGGCGATTCCCCTCTTAATCACGCCTATGTGGGGTGCGGAGGTGGGGACGGGGAGCGATGCACGGCAGGGGGGAGTGCAGGCGGCTTGCGCGTGCGCACGCACTAGTGCGCGGATGCGTGCGCTTCTTCTCTTAATCACGCCCACAGCACACCGTCGCAAACGCTACACTTTCCGCTGCGCGTACGCACGCACGCATGCACGCGTGCACACACTGCAGTCTAGCTGCATCACAAATGCGGTGTGACACCTTGCGAAAAAAAACAATTTTGCCTTCTCCCCCTTCTTCCTCCTTCGCCTTCTTCACTGTTCCTCACCGGAAACGTTCTGTTGACGCAGATCGGTATGCTTCTCTGTCGCCTTCTTCTTTCCAATCCCATTAACTTGACTATATTCACTTTTAAGCAATCAGAGCTGTGGCCGCAACGCCATTTGTATATGGAAGCTAGCGAGGTGGACGGTGTAGATATTGATCGAAGGTTGAACAGTCAATCAAATCGCATGGTACGAGTAAAACGACCTAATGCTACATGAGACAGTAGTCGAAATATTAAATGAGCATATTTATTGAGAAGTCCGTTCCTCTCCTTTAGTAGGTAAACTCAATCCAATGAATACGGGAGTTTCATTTATGGCATATTACATTTCTTGCCTACTCCAACGTCTGCCAATAACCAAAAACTATGAGTGGGCGGATGAACAGGTTTTCACGAGTTATCTCGTTAGTAATCCACTTTCATGCTAAGTTTCTCAATGAAACCAACTTAATCCCCACTTTAGCAACAACTTAAATTTACAACTTAACGCGCAGTTTCATTGATGTGTGATTGATTACCGAAAGTGATGAGAATGAGTTGCTTCCTTTTAAACAAGACACTGTAATTTGGCAAAATGTTCACTTAACTTTAGTAGTTACGCAGAAAAAAACAGATTTCCCGATAGGTCTGCGTCAGTGATAACTCGATTGGAGCAAAAGCATAAGCTTTTATCAGGCTCAAAACAGTAAGCTCATATATTGAACCTGAATTTAAGAGCCTCCTTAGCCACACATTTACTTCCTTTCTTGAAGCACTTGGTTTATTCGACTCATTTTTAATTAAGAACTCGCTTTTTATTCTCCTAGGTTTGCCAAATACATCGAAATGAAACTCACATTAAAAACATTAATCCCTATAATTTGGAATCTTTCACTGTTTAAACTCTGGGCAGATTCGTATTCGAGAGATCAGGTGTACGTTGCAATCGCCAGGACCTCGGATTAGCAGTTTATGGAGGTTTTGTTGTCGAACAGTTTTGTGATACCAGTGCTGAATGTCACCCGCCACGTCAGTTAGATTAGGGTGTAGTGTGGGGTGGTGTATTGTTGCAGTTTTTCAGCAAAATATCTTTCTGCCGTGTTCGTCATCCGCGTCTACTTATACGGACCAGACAAAAAGTGCACCGGCCCGAAAGGAGACAGGTCTGGTGCATGTCTTTTTTAGCCAGGTCGGCTTTTCTCCTATTCTCTTTATAAATATAGGCGAACAAATCGTCAAATAATCACTGATACTGTCACCTGCTTAAAGCATGATCATACTTTGGCCCAAGCACCCACTAAAATTCGAAAATGAACGGGATTTGGCTGCTGTGGAACTTTCCCTCCATAAGGCAAAGTAACCAGCTAAGAGTCGAGTAGAGTATTTTGGCAGTCGAGCTCTTCATGATACTAAAAAATGGAAGAGGCGTTACGCCAGCATTGAGGCTGATTGTTTGTTTCCCTAAATCACTCATTTTTAGACCCAAAGACACGTTACACCGTTCAATCCTCGGGGTTATGCGCTTACGCCTGCTTAGGGATTGCCATTCCTGCCACGCAGTCCCAACTGGTACATCGGACATAATCGTGACGGTGGAGAAGAATTTCACTTAACCACTTGACTTTGCGCTACCCACGTTCTACGGAACATCCATCAACTGGGCGGAAGCGGTGAGCCCTTGTCCGGCAGCAACAAGCGTATAAGTAATGATGAGGTCATGCCAGGGGAATAGAGCGACCCGCACTATTGGGATTTTCTTATGCTCAGTGCGTTAAAATAAAAAATTCACTAGGCCAGCAATGCATTGAAAGTACGTTAGGGTTATAAAGATCCAGCTTCAGATTTAGAAAGGAGTTAAAACCGGCTTGCAAAGAGTCCTGTTGCAACATTATTCCGACAATGAATGCACAAAAGTGAGACGCTTTTGTAATGCTGGTGAGAGATTTTCTCACTCCCTCAGTTCCGCCCTTTGACAATCGTAATGCGACTTGAGGAAAAACCGACAGTATGAAGCCGCGAGGAAAGTAGGAGCAGTAGGCTGGTCTTACAAAAAGCACCATCAGATGGGTGAGCGTTCAGGCAAGTTTTCTTCGTCTTGGTACACACCAAAGAATTTTGTCTAATCACAGGTACACATTGTCACTTTCACATCACCTTTTCGCATCTGCTCAAAAAAGACCCTTTTGTGTGTATATGTGTGTATATGCCCGTGAAGGATGCACTCAAACAAAAAAGGCCACAAAGACGAGGATCGTAGTACCTATGAGGTATATATTTCCAGCGTTTAGTCACGTAATGTAAATGTCTCACCAGAGATTGCATCAATAGAGATTCACGGAGGTAGTAACATGAACCCTTTGAACACCTATTCACACCTCACCCTGCCATATGTTCCGTCTGATAAATTAGCAGAATTATCTTTTTTTGAGGCCATAAGAAGCAGTCGCGTGCTTTGGACATAGATGTTTATGAAATTAAATTGACTGTTACCCTAGTCACTGCCCCCACTCCTTCCCCCCTTGTTGCCAGTGTCGAGACCCTATCTGCCTATTTAGAACAAATTTGCCTCTGTAGTTTTAGGCTAAGGCACACTTTAATTAAGAAGTACAATCAGGTATTTCGATATTTTCTTATCAATTTTATCAAATTTAACACCTTCATGCACCCATATTTAGGCAATAGTGCCTGTAGGTAACTCAATGGATAATGTATTTTAAACTGGCTATAATTCAGTAGTGTTGGAATGCGCTTTTCGGAAGCGGAAGCGTAACGCTAGCAAAGATTAAGGCTACATTCTGCCTTTGCAATCACTGCTTCTACTGGACATGTTACTGCCATGCTCCTGACAAATGGCTGTAAGTAGAGTGAACGGCGCTGATAGGACCAAAGCCTTTGGATATTAAATTTGTGTTTGGCTAATCGACAACTGATCGCATAAAGGAAACTCATTATAGATTGATAGTGGAAAGGTGGTATTAAAATTAATGCATTAGTGTTTTAAGCTCCGGTAATAAGAGACCGCTGAGGCCTCAAATAGTCTGAGTGAGCATAAGGGGTAGGGCACTTCGGCGGAAGTCTGACAAGGTGTGACGTGATTAATTGTCGGTAGCAAAGAGCTAGTGAATAATCATTTTTCTAACGTGCTTTAGTTAAAGCAATCATGTAGGTAAAGGCATCATGCTGAAGCTAAGCGGATGCTCGTCTTGGTGGACAGTCTAGTCTGCCTGCTTGCCCTGTTCACCGGGGTGATTAATAGTCCCTTGCAGTCTATTAAGTAATATGGGTTATGGCGACACTCCTTCGCAGTGGCTTTCGGGGACTAAATGTCACAGTGGCTTAGGTGAAATCCCGCAAATCCAGGCACACTTGACGTAGGTAGGCTTATTCAAATCTCGTAATTATTAAATGTACATATGGAGAAGAAAATGAAAGCAGAAAATTCCAATTCTGCTGCCAAAACAGTTGGATTTCTAAAGCCACTTTGCAGTTGGATGAGTTGCTCCACTTTTTGCATTCCGCATCAACTTACATTAACGACGTACTTTATTATTAGTATGTTCAAGTCACAGCTAATAATATGATAAATGCTAAATATATTCTTCCAAATATTTTTATAAAAATTTCGCAAGAAATAACAGCATGGCTCTTCAACTTATTTCTTAATCACTGCTATTCGCAGGAATTCTAATACCTCAAGTTCAAGGGCAGCCGTTAAGAAAATTAGGTGCAAACATTTAAGCATATTAATAGAAGTTAATCTGATATGAGGATATAAAGCACATGCTATTTTCTATTTTATTGGAGCATGAAGCTGGAATATGCATCCATTAGGCGAATCCGTGCTTGATTTCAGTCTCTTATGCATACATAGAAGCTGAACTATCATGCATACCAGGCTTCTAAACTTACAAAGTACTAGTTTTACCTCATTTGATAGAACAATATATCACCACTGCGAATATTTGTCTAGGCTTTGCAAAACATTTGGTCCCTTCACTGAGCCACGTTCTGGCTTCAATTATTCGCGTGCACCGCCGTATTTTTCTCCATTTGTTTGCCCCTTCTCCATACTGAAACATTCCACAATTTGGACTAACTCTGGTGGGGTGTCAGACCTAAATGTCAGGATTCACATAAGGAAAAACAGCGTCAGAGTACAGCAATTTGACCATATGTGTGTGTATACATACATATTACTTATCTACACCTGCACACAAAGACTATGGGTCCGAATTGGCTGCTTTCTGGTTGTCCGTGTGTGGATGGCATGATGTCCCCTGTGAAATTCATCTTTTAAATACCCCTTTGTTAAAGCCTTTGCTTCAAGCTGCGTTGCTGAAGCGCATTAGCGGCATTCCGACTCCCTGATCAAGTAGCAACTGTAGAAGCAATGAATAAAATCCAATCAACGGGAATCGAGGTCTGAAGGGTGGAAAAGCGCCCGCATTTGTCACACACATTGTCCACATCACGTGAATAGTCATTCTAACAAGGAAAATTAGTATTTTTGCAAATCATAGGAAATTATTAGCGAACGTAAACTTGTCAAGAAAAAGGTAAAAATTTGTAGTTAAGTTGGAATATAAGTGGCTACAAATCTACAACTGCACTTGACAACTATGCCGATAGAGTGCCCGTGTTAATGATTGCAAGGACAACACCGCAGCACCCAATTGTAGAAACCTGCCACACAAATGGATTGCGGACTGAACTGTAAAAATTAGGCAAATATTTTTACTATTTTTTGTAATATCGTCACAAATAAGGCTACCTTTGCTACTTTCATGGCATTTAGCGCTTTGCGTCTGACTGAATGAACGCACCTTTATGAGATCTTTAATAATAATGGTTCTGTTTTATGTTGAATGCGGTGCAGGGCGTGGATCACTTCAGTAACAGAAGTTTTTTGCCGCAGGCCCTTGTCTCACAGGATTCCACTTTAAGGGGTTTTTATTTAATGCCCTTACAAACCACCTGAATCACAGTGAGCTTATTGTCTACAACACATTTTTCGGAACAGAAGAGGTGATTTTGTAAGGATTTTTAAGCTAACTTGCTGCAATGAATCGAGGAAGGACTTAAGTAGTCCCGAATATGCCGTCCTTAAGGGGTTAAATAAAAGTGGCTAGTGAATAGTGAAATGGTATGACCCTGAGAGATTGGACGAAGTCTTAAGGCATCACCTACACCTGCCAGGGCCGCAGTGACGGAGAGGGGGAGGGAGAGCAGTGTTAGTCACCTGTTGGTGGCTGCACGGCTAGGTGGGCAACTAGGCGTGAGGGCAGGGACGCGAAGGGGTCGGCCGGGGTGGCAGCAAAATTCCCACCCCCACAACGTCCCATTCCTCCTTCACCCCACCCCTTCAGTCGCAATGGCACTGCTAAATAGTCATTGAATCCGACGTGATAAATGACAGGATGCCGCGCCTTCTGCATCTCTCCCACTCGAATGTACGTGCGTTTCCGCGCATACGGGTGTCTGGGTAACAACTTTCTAAACACGCACACGAGTGTGCGTGTTTCTGGGTGGTGTGTGTACCTGTGTGTCGGAAATTTATATTAACGGGATTCCCGGCTGACATACGCAGGTGCATTTGTCCAGAAATTCCATTTCGCGCGCACGCAGATGCACACATATCCAGAAGAAGTAGTGATGATCTACCGGAGCACCGAACCATAACCACTGCCTCATCAGCGAAATCCGATGTGCCGTCCGCAAAACTAATCCACGGGAGGAGATCTGTTTTCAACACGATTGCTTTGTTAGTCAGTTGACCCAGAAGTTGCACCTTAAATGCATTAAATATATAAATTGATAAACTGACTGGAAAATTGAGCACACTTAAAAGTTAATACATTTACTGTTTACTCACCTCAATATATTCTTTTAAAAAAGATGATACGAGACATGATTTTACATAATAAAATGGCTGACAAAGATAAGGCTCTGGGATCTGAGCATTTAGCAGCCGTTATTTTACGGAGTAATTGGACTGCTGCGATATATTTTAAGTATAAAGAAATTGATCGTTCTAAATTAAATGTGTTTAGTCGAGCTTCACCAGTCTTCGCAACACACAATTTGAGACTGTAAACGCCTAACCTTGTCTTATTAGACTACCACCGGAAGATTTTATCCACGAATGCTGCCATACAAGTTGCCAGAGCACGAGGCATTTTACACGGCGTCGTTCAGCGGCTCGGAGAGGTGGCAGCCCTCCTCCTGGTGTCGGAACTCGCCTCCCCCACCCTTACCAGCTTCCCTGCAGGAGCACCACCACTTCCACCATAACCACAGCAACCATCGCGGCTTCTTTTGCAAGGAGGATGTCCAACAAACTCATCTGTCTAACACTGAACCTACCCACCTCGAGACCCTTGGTTTTCCCGGCAGTGGAGGGGCCGCAGACGGTGCACCGTCCAAGTGGGAGGCTGAGGAGGCCTGCCATGATGGTTCTACTCCCACCCTCAATTCTGCCCCTGTCCCCAACTCCGTCTCCACCAGCAATGTTCGCAGCGGCGATACCTTCTGGTCTTCCACGCTCTCCAGGGTTGCTGCCGTGGCCGCTGCTGCAATGGCGTGCGCTGCAGTGCCCCAAAAGAATCCCAGAGAGGAGCATGAGGAGTTTGAAAATGCTCAACTCGGTGATGAGGAGGCTGAAAAACCGGATTTGAAGGAGCCCTGGTGTAGGGGTCAGAGGAAACTGCATGGTCGAAGGTGATATTCTGTAAACAGCTCATCAACAATTAAGGAAAATATTTATTAAAAAACTCACTTATGCCAAAAAGCAACTTTTCCATTCAAATCACATTAACTTAAATTCACACCCAGCCTTGTAGCTACAGGCTACTGTAATACTTGTGGCTAATGCCGATTCGTTCGAAGTTAAAGTAAACCTTGTTGTTTTATTACCTAATCTTGTTTATCTTTGACACAGTATCTACCCTGATGGTGAAATCACTCCACCAGTTTTTAATAGGAACGTCTTCTACTTTTCAGAAATCAAACAACTGAAGGTACCGACAGTGTGCTCCCCAAAGGACAACCACAAACGCCCTTTGTTGACTCCAGTACGTCCCCATCTGTGAAGAGTGACACTACCGTTTCCCTTCCTTTTGTTTATCCGTCAAATCAGCTACCTCAACTTCAAAGTGGCTCGTGGACCAACATGGGCGACGTGAACCTCCAGTGGTCCGGTGAAACCCCCAATGATCCTCTCAAAACTGGCAGCAACTCGAATAATTCGCAGTGGCCTTCTGAGAGTGACAGCGCCCAGCGGTTCTACGGAGACAACCAATTTGTAAAACCATTTTCCTACTCCAGTGATGAGGTCTTCCGATCACTGGGAATAAGTACCAGTCTCTCTGAAGATGCACTTTACGTCATGTCCGCCTCAAAGCAGAACCCAAGCGAAACATTTCCCCAGTTCTCCACTACCACCAGCACTCCTATTAAGTCAGAACTGCAACCCGAATTCGCGCATACTCACCAATACATTGACCCTTGTCAGAGGCGCCATTCAGAACATGGTGAATGGTCGCAAAAACGACTTCCACCATCCACCAGTTATGAAGCTAACTTTACCGGAGAGCGAAAGCCGCCCAGCGACATAGGTCTACCCCTCAATCCACATATGCCACCGAACTCGACATCGTGTGACTACTTTCTGGAGTCGAGACAGCGGCGGGACCCCTACGCAGCCTCAGGAACACCACCGAGGGGGGAGTTCTCGCCACTGCCAAGCTACTTCAGTCTCTTCTCGGGTGGTGGAAAAGAGAGTGATCCTCACTTTGGAAGTGCTCCAATGCTCTACCCTCCAGTCATGGACTCAGGTAGTCTGGGAGCGTTCGCTCAGTCCTCGAGCGGATCGCAGCTGCCAACTCCCAACAGGCTGGAGCTGCAGCAGCAACAACAGCAACAGCAATTCTGCCTTGTCTGTGGCGACAATGCAGCCTGTCAGCATTATGGAGTGCGCACTTGCGAAGGGTGCAAGGGATTCTTCAAGGTAAATCTGCTTCTCCTGTAGCTGTGTTATACGATCATTATTGTAGTGCTTAAAATGTTCCGACTCTGTAAACTATAACTTACATTATTAGTATGAATTAGGCCTACTGTAACATCAAATATTTCTTTCCTGAAATTGCTAGCTCATGAAGAACCATAAAATTAGCCACTATATTTTCATCGAAATGTTGGGTTCTGCTGTTATTGCTTAAAACAAAGACGCTTTGTTTAGGAATTTATATACTTTAAATTATTGCACTTTCTAGAAACGACTTCTTAGTAAAAATTTTACAATTTTCATTCATTCAAAGGATTTGAGTAAATCTAATTCGGTCATTCATATGATAAGAAAGGGAAATCTCTTGACATGTTGAGTTCATGTTATGGAGGGCAAAATTCACCTTGCTAGCTAACCACATTAGTCTCTTGGGTGTGAGTGTTATGTAAGCCTCTGAGATAACAAATACAATAAATTCTCCTTCACTTTTTAACTGCATATTTTGAATTTTAGAGAACCATTCAGAAGAATGCTCACTATGTGTGTCTACAGACGAAGAACTGTATAGTTGACAAACGCCGAAGAAATCGTTGCCAGTACTGCCGCTTTCAGAAATGTCTTAAAGTAGGAATGGTCAAGGAAGGTACGCGAACGCACCCCTGTTTATGCCCACTGCTTACATTTATTTGTCTGCACATTACTACCACCGAAAGATAGTGCATACTTTTGAAAGCATTATTGTTGGAGTCTGTTTCCCCAAGTTGAGCTACGCTTAGGGTGAAACAAGAATTCCATATAGCCGAATTCTGAGAATTTAAATGGGTGTACAAGAAGCCTAAGGATTGCTACTAGGAGTTTTAAGTAGTGTAATTATTTACATCGTGATGCATTTTGTATTCTTTGATCAGTTGTTCGCCGCGATAGCCTGAAGGGTCGACGGGGCCGACTGTCAGCTAAGGCCCGCTGTCCCATCGATGGCGAAGGTGGTGGCACAGGAGACGTGGCACATAAGGCCTTCACTGTGAGCGGCTCCTCAGCCGCCGGACAGGCCTTCACTTTGTCTGGGGAAAAGGGCCCACACCAGGGCGTCCTGTCCAGCAGCTATGGCAGCGGAGGCGTTGCGGGATCCACCAATAACAGCGCAAGTTCAATGACTCTCCTTTCGATGCTGACTAAAGCCTATGAGACCGTCGACTGCAGCCTCGAGGCAGCTCACCTTTTTAAGCACCCACCGGGATCGAACTACCTCACGAAAGAACGCGAACAGCAGGTACGCTCTGATATTTCAGCTGACGCAAAAAAATTATCCAAGCAGATTGTTAGATTTCGGAATTTTCCAAAAATAGAAATTAAAATGCACTCGTCGCTACTCAAATTTGCAGACAAATAAAGGTGTTAATTTAGACGAGTTCTTAGTTGTTATAATTTTGTATCCGTGCCCTATTATTATCCATAACAATTATTGAATAGGAAATCTTCAAATCAACTATAAATGAGCCTAAGTGAATGTCTTCAAAATTATTATATTGTATTTGATCAAAATTTGAACTGGGTGTAGATTAATTGGTAAGATACTTAAGTCATGTCTCACTTATCAAAGTGGGAAATGATGAGCTTGACAAATGTAAAATTTTGAGGCATCCAGCGCCGGTATTGCGTGATCCAAGTTGCTATCGGGACGTTTGTTAAGGGTACAGGTTAGGTTTTAAAAACAAAGCCATTTATTAATTCCTGCTCAGTTGTATTCATTGCTATAACTCTAAGGTAAGTGAGAAGTGAATTTGCAGCATCATCACCTGCAACCGCATCCGAGATCACCATATTAGGGATTGTGTTTGAAGGCAGAGGGAAATAAAAGCAAACAGCGAGATTCATTATACGCAAGGCTACCCACCATAGCTGTACAAGTAAGCTCAAAAAAAATATCGTATCACAGGAACACCTGAGCCCAAAGAGTGTACCAACTCTCCTCCTGGGGAGAGAGGTCGGGGTTATCCCATTTGCCACACACATCGACTTACCACATGAATGAGCGGCTGCAAAGGAGTCGGATGTCACCATAACATTCAAGCCCTTATAAGCCTTCCATCACCTCATGCAAACCCGTATATGTCATGACATGTGCGTGTGTGTGTGAGCTACGAAGATTTGAACAAAGTCCTCTTTCTCGCTGCTGCCTCGTCCTGGTGACTGACGTCCCGGCCCTATGCCACTCAGGTGTACCAAAAGATCTTGACTTATTTGTGTGAAGGTGAAAAATGCATATATCTTAGTCGTGTCGTTGCCATAAGAGCAAATTAGGTGGGCAAACGGGAATTAAGAGATGAGTTCTTTGCAACTTACCTCGTTACGACATTCAAGAGCTACCATCCGTCTTCCTAGCGTGTCTACAGTGCTTATGCTCAATATTTCTCATTAGTCGCGATTTGAACTATATCAGTGTTAAGAACAGCTTAAAAATTAGCAAAACTGTGCCCAACTTCGGTTAAAATAAAGTTAAATGTAGCGAGGGCTTAACCTTCTTAGGTATGTGATCTGTTTTTCTGTGGTTTTACTGAAGCCCTCTAAAGATTTTTGGAAATTTCGTATGCCTGATGTATTTTTAGAACAGTGCCTTTCGGTTGAAAAATTTATTTAATTGCGATAGAACAATTGTATGCCCTGTAGGGGTTTGAAAAGGAAGAGAACGCCCTTATCCAATTGGCTGTCAAGAACCTCGGAGAATCGGTAGAAGTGATACGTCAATACGCTGACTTGGTGCCCGGCTTCTCATCACTCTCGGAGGCGGATCGAGAGAAAATAATCCTACTGCACTCAGCTGATTTGATCACCTTCCGCATGGCTTTCAGGTAGGACTCCACCACAGTTCTCAGCTGGATACCTGGCACCTCGTTAAATAAAAATACTAGGTGTTAACGATTGATGGCTTAACAAACCAAAGTGATTAGTACGAATCGTTCAAAGGAATTCTACGGTAAACAGTACTTAGAGCGCTCTGTAAAACTGCAAAGCATTAACAAGGAACTTTATAGGACCACAATAGAGCGTAGAAAATGGTAAAGCAGCAAAGCCAATTTAACTTAATTTCTTTTTCCGATAATTAAAGAACGGCTAAAGCAGCGGCAGAACGAGCTCAGCTGAACCTAATCCATCCAAACACATCACAACCGAACGCCTACTTTCGATCTTCTACCTCGGCGGATGTTAGCAGAACCCAGCAGCAGACGTCGACAATAATGCAGCATCAACAAACAGGTCCTTTTCAAAGTGTGGAGAACCTGAGTGCGTGGCACACGCAGCCAGCGTCATCGGAGTCATCCTTCCGTCCATTTCCACACACCCCCCCACTTACGCCCGCACCTCCATCCTCCTGGCTTGGGGGTGGCAGCGGTGGTAGTGTCCCACGACCTGCCGACTTCGAGGCGGAGGAAGAAGAAGGCAACATCACCGTCTGGGAGTTGGCACTCTCTACGCCTACAGAGCCAGTTTACATCTTCGAGAACGGCTCCATCATGACCGACGAGGAGCTAATTCGAGCAGGCCTTGGATCCTGGATCAGGGCCCTCACCTGGTTCGGCTGGCAACTGCTCGAACTTGCCATGGGCGACCACAGCACAATTGCTGGCCTCTCTGCCCTTGTACTCATCAACTACCAGGCGCTTTCTGGTGAGTTCCTTTACAGACCTATTAAAAAATACGGGTAGGAAAAGCATGAAATAAAAGGTGAGACCTCAGTAGGCTCTCTTTAAACTATCACACTGATTGAAGTTCAACACTATTATTATGAATTCGACTTCCGGATCCGGACTTCTGGACTAAGCACACGATTCCTACTTTTTCTTAAGTAAAAGCTACAAAAGTACCCAGGATTCACACATTAATGACTGCTTCTCAAGTTCTTCGTTTGCCTAATTTTGACTAAGGAAATGCTGCCTAATGCTTTTAATAAAGCCAGTATTTGATTTACCCAATCTCCGAAATTCGATTCAAAGTTAGTTCACTGCATTATATTGGCACATTATTTCAGTGCTTTTCTATCATCATGATCATCAATATGGCCCCGCAGTTTTGACAGCTTTAAGCCGAACCCTTTTTTATAACTCCTAAAGAACCTATCACGTCCTATGTCCAGTCCCGTTTCTCGGAAAGTTATCACACGGTTCTACTGTAAAGTCAACTAAAATTGTTGTATCAACTGTTTCAGGGAGGTCGGATTTAGAGAACTCTAGTGACATCTACACAGTGCATCATAGATTTGTGGAGATGTTAAAAAGCCACTGCTGCTCTCCCACGAGTGCTGTGGCGATTACCACTGGCTATCCAGGTTGCTACGTCCCCGAGGCGGACCCCGCAGCAGCCACAGTCGCGACCGCCGCCACGACCACTACCATGGTGCCGCCTGCGCGAGCCGACTCGACGTACTTCTCACAGGTCTTCAAGAAGAAGGACACGGTACACTGGATCGCAAGCCAGCTACTTCTGCAGCCGCTGCAGCGCCTCCATGCCAGCGGACGTCTGCCCTCAGCGCCAGAGTGTGGCTGGCTCAACACCCTCGTGAGCCTGCTCAACTCCAACTGCAACCAGTCGCAGACCTCTCCTCCCTGCAGCTAGCTAAGAAAGAGGGAGGTCCTTTGGTTCCTCCCCTCGAAAAAGAATTAAAATGCTCTTCTCTCACTTCATTCTCCATGCAAATGCAGCAACATTGTACAGCCCACAACTACAACAATGTGACCTTTACCGGCCTGATGATCTTCCACTTCTACCCTCCCACCTCTACTGACACTGCCACCGCTACCACCACCACACACATAATGTTTGTCTCGCGTTGGTTTTTTCTCTTTATGTGATTTTACTCATATTTTAATTCGTATTGCCCCCAAACCCACTCTCTTTCTCCCACTTTTCTTTTGTGGATACGCCTAAAGAAATGATTTTTCAAGATTACATTAATCTCATCTTGAGGGTTATCACAAAAATGTGGCTGGACTTCGTGGATAGTTGTAAAAGTATTAAGGTGTCACGGGTGCTGCCGCCCTTGAATTTCATTAGTTCCAGTGAGTTAAAAAGTGAAATTGAGGCTGGAATTTTATAGTGGAGGGGATCAAGCAATGAATACATATTTTTAAATGGTGCTGTGCTACCTATATATGCTAGCGATTTTGTGCCGTTCTTCAATCTTTAAAAGGAACGCAGAAAAGGAAAGCCTTAGCTCTGATTCTAGACATCAGCTAATGGTGATGGTCAACATAAGATTTATTTACAATTGTTTCGTCTTTTTATCCAAAGTTAAGTAAGCAAGGCCTAATAAGCCTGCCGATGGGGGAAAACAATTGCAAGCTAGCCATAATACTCCACTTTGATGATTCACTCAATTGCAGCTAACCATGCAAAAATGAAACTGTTCTAGTTTTAAGAAATTGCTTTTCTCTATTCAACGAATGTTTCTCGAAATAAAAACCATCCCCAAAAGACATTAAAATCAGACTTCACTAGATGACAGAGGAAGATTGTTTAGCTTTGGTGTAAGAAGGATGAGATTAGCCTGCCACTGGAAAAATAACGTAATTATTACTCATGAACACTTGGTGAAGAAGTTGTCTTGAACAATGGAAATGTACTGCAGAAGCTTGAACTCGAATTAAGATCAATGTGCTAAGATTTCGCTTAAATATGACACTTGGCAGTCGGAAGGTTTATAAGACACTCGCACCCATGTTACAGTTGGGTATTTATTACTCACCCAGTAAAGTGATTAGAAATGGTGAGGTGAATATCAATTGAAATATTTGTTAGTGGAAATATAAATCACAAATAAAAAAGACCGTAATGCACAGACATGGCGTTTTAATCAAAAGGGCCGGTTCTTTGCACCGAAAACGCTACCACCGCATACGTAACCAGAGCTTGTGCAAAGTTATCGAGGGGCAAATTAATTGCACTGTAGCTGCGGAGGGACGAGGGGAGGCTTGGTGTCTTGTGTCATCCTGCCCTTCAGCCCAATTCACGGTCACAGAGAATGTTCGAGACTGTCATGATTGGGTGTGTAGAGGTGTGTACAATGCGGGTCTCCTGGCTGGCATCCAATAGAGCAAACGCTTTTGAAGATATCGCGCTCCTGTGTGTACGTTTGCCCAATAATCGCCGCCACCTGGTGTGGCCTCGAAAATGGAACTAGACTGGCCAACTCTCTGCGGTTAGGAAATGGGACCCCCTAAAGGCGCACAGGACGAGACTGAGAATGGAATGCTGATGTGGATGGATAATGAACTGGAATGATGACCACTGTATCGGCCGGGGATGAAATGAAGATGAGCAATCCCGTTCGACAATGGAGTTACAATATTCATATTTTACCAGCTGAATTGCGCATACACCCGGAACGGTGATGTGTTTATTCTTCTCTTTTCCAATCTTAATAATAAATCTGTGTGATTTACGTGAGTGATTGCTTACTGGTACATTCGCTTAGCGATTCTGTGAAACCAAAAACTCGGCATAACGTGTAACACAGCAACGCTTCACTACTTCCACCCCTCCCCATTTTTGTCGAGAACTCAGACTTTTATTTCAAGAGGAAGTTATCGGGGTGCTTTGATGGGAAAATACAACTTATGGAGAATTTTCGAGTCTAGACGTCTGCTTTCACGTTGCCCGTATTACACTTTGGTCGAATGAGACCGATTTACTGGTAAGGCAAGGTCGTCACTTGATTAGTCTCTATTGTAATATGCCATAGCAAACGTGTACGGGAGTTATTTCCGCGATTAATTTCCAATTTTAATGAAGGCGTAATCACTTTCACTTTCATTAGGTTTTTACGGTACTCTTTTCAAAAACAAACTTTTCGCCCAAGTCTTGGTCTTGAGGTTTTAACATTAAATTCTTTACATTGCTTAAAATGCACTCTTTAACAATGGATGCAGCACTTAAATGCTGAGTGCAAAACTGGATACTGACGTGTTGGCCTCATTTTGCGGTCACTTGAGTGATGTCGTGCCGTGACCTACCGATGCAGTAAACAACTTAAGTCCAACCATGAAGGTTGGAAGACCATTTGATGGATTTAAGTCTGTATTTACCTTACTGGGAAGTAAAATAGTGACTTATTCTCCATAGTCGAAAACTCTTATTTAAGTTCAATCTTCCTTCATTGGTTAAATAAGCATTTTGAAAAGGGATCTATCACCGACCCACCGCTTTATATTGGTAAAAGATGTTATTATTAAGAATACGGTTGTAACACGGCAGCCGTTTTCGTAGTTCAACTTCACTACACAAAGTGTCGTCGAGACGATTGCGGTAAAATTTCATTTTGGAAAAGTTACTTGATTGCTTTGATCTATCCTAAGACTAAAAGAACTTCCTAGTCATTAAGGAAATTTTAAATCAGTGGACTTGATGCCAAAATCCATTATTACGGTTTTCTCCTACTTCAATCGTAGGTTTTGTTACTGCATTTATTTAAGGTGGTAAAATTTTAAACTATTAGTTTGTAAATGTTATTTAGTTTCCTATTGAACTCGGCCAAAAAATAATCTAATTAGTTTATTTGGGGCTCTTCATCCACAGGCTACAAATTCTATTTTTAATGAATGATTTGCCTCTTGTGTAAAATCCTCAATGATTCGATGCATTGTGACGGGTCCAGTGTTTCCCTTTTTCAATCCCGATTCCGTACCCTTGAAGGGAGAAGAATGTGTGGAAGATGATATCTTTCTTTCACTATTAATATGGGGGATTTGTAGGCTATAGAAGCTTAAAGTGGATCGAAGCTCGTTTCCTCCTATGGTGTTAAGGTAGTCCGCTCCGTCTCGTGGTTGACGCAAGGCGACCGTTTCGCGCCTAAAAAATGTATTCAAGCGTACACAAGTTGCAGTGAATATAAGCGCCCTCATAAAATCTAGACATGCCATTTCTCAATTCCCCTAAAAGTCACCACAGTTTGCTTTTTTGAAGTATACTTATCGACCACTTTAAGTCATTAAGTGGGATTCTCCAGACTTGGTTGTCTCATAGTTCGGTGGGGGATGTGGCTACATCGTACAGGCTGTTACACGCCTATCTGTAAAGAAGAATATTAGTAATGACTTTCATTTATTACTTTTTAATTGTCGATGTATACGTTGAAGTTGTGCGAGGCCAACATCAAAGCGTGACCATTTGCTGAAAAATTACCACGAGTAAAAGCAGTCACTACGGTTGGAATTCCGCTAGACCTAGTCTGTCTTGCGTGTATTACCCTTTAAGCTCTGGAATTGGGATCATAAATGCACCAGGAACCACGATAGCATCTCTGCATACTTTTGACATGTTAGTATTTTTACTCCAAATACGCTTTCCCCACGTTCGGCAGGTTAGCAAGCCTTGTTTATCCACAAATGCTCCCTTTCGTGTGACTTTCTGTAATGGATGTCATTTCTTTCGGGTACCCGCCGTCTATTTCTATGCCAACTTATTTGGCTGTCGAACAAATTTGGACATGATGGCAAAAAACTGCCCCAAAATATACTGGTAATTCGCAAATAATTTCATGCATTGATTAACGGCTTCCACTGCATCTAACCGCACTGATGACGTCCAGATGTAGGAGGTACATTTACTAGCCTCTAACCTTTAAAGTCAGAGTATTGAAAAGAGCCTTTCAAATCACAAAGTCTCCCCAGGTCCTAATTTATCCACATATGGTGGGACCCTTCAGTAAATAAATAAAGGTTTTTTGGAATCCGTACATAACAGCGGATCCGTATGACGAACGGAACTTGGTGTCAGGAATTCTCCCTATTGATATGGCCTTTACCAAAAATAAAATTTGGCATGGTCGTCTCAAATCTGGCCCGCCCACCAGATGGAGTGCCCGCAAACATGAATCCACTTTTGCTATCGGACCGGGCCGTCAGTCTTGTCATTTCCCTACAGTAAAGTTCACTCGTGTTGGGTGCATGCCAATTTGTGGCGATGGTGACGGGAGGAAAGAACAGGCCTATCCCTTGAGACCCACGCGACGGAAATTCATGGTGGAGTGCACATCCATCAATTTTTAGCCTAATGTCTGTTAAGAAATGACATTTCCACGGTCACTAACCTGAGAGTCATTCTTGGCTAATGGTGCCGCCTTTATAAAAAATCTGATTTGCTACTAACATTGGTGTCCAGCTTAGTAAACAAACTCAAGATATGCTCTGGAAGGGCCTGTAATTTTTACTGAGACTGAGATATATTCTGGTATTTTAAAAGGCGTTTTTTAATCGGACCAACTTCTCATTGCAACCATCCGTATTCAAATCCGAATCTACAAGGCTAACTTTAGTTTTCAGATGGATTGGTTTTCAATGGGAATACTCAAGTAGAGAGCCATAGAAGTAAAAGTTCAACAAATACGAAGCTCTGCAGCATTCGTCCATCATTTTATTCCAGGTTTCACTCATAAATCTAAACATTTGTGGAATATCTTTCATGCAAATCTATATTATACAACAAAACTGATACCTAACGGATGAGAAAAGCGTCAGTAATCCACGACTATGGCCCTCGGTTCAGGTTGAGTAGAACAGCATGAGTAAATGACAGACCGTCTGTGCGATAACATCACGTAGAGGAGGTATGGACTACGA